GATTTGTCAGCTGAGGAAATGATACTGAAGAATTTCTTTATTTTTTTAGATAATAAAAGTATTACATTCAAAATTTAAATAAGATAATGAACATGTAAAATGGACAGTATATATTAAGAAAGAAAACTATAAATGAAAGAAAAGCTTGAAGAATTATAATAATGTGTAAAGAACTTTAGGCAAAATGTTGTAAAAAATATACAAATTATTTGTTTGAAAGAAAGGAAAATGGGTAAAGATCCATTGATCTAGGCAGTCAGTCTGATTATCAGTCAGATAAGGACTATTTAACATGGCTTGAATTTCAGTTTGGAAGAGGGATTTTTGTGATACACAGACTAACATTCTTAAATCAAGAGAGAACCCAGAAAGAACAGATTTTAGAGCAGGGCACTTGGTATCAACATGCAATAAAACAAAAACCTTGTCAGCGTTTACATCTGAAGTTACTGGGCTTTTGGGTCACTATGGGCTCCCATTTAGGGCTAGCTGGTAATCTGGTAATACAATGAAATCTGTATTTTAGTAGGGATAGAAGTAATCCACTCTATGTGCTAATGCTGTAAGATGTCTTTCTATTGAGGCCGTTGGTTTCAATCTGTAACTAAAGTGTGTTTTCTGCATCTGCTTTGAGAAACAATCACCACAGGATTCAGGAATAAAAATTCAGCTCATGTTATCAGCAAATAGAGAAAAACACATTTCCTCTGCAGCAAAGGCTGCAACATGACAGTGAAAGTATTCTTTTGAACAACGGATTCCTCAGGTGTTTTGAGAGGTGAAGCAAAAATGGATAATTTCTTTTTGTTCTTCTTCAAACACAGAAATATTTTTGAAGGTTCAGTAATAACTTCTGTACTGATGGTTACTATTTTTTCCTAATTTACATGGACCTAACTATCCTCTGAATAAATATCTTCTTTGTATTCTTATTTCCTCCTGAAACATACAGCTATCTTCTGCATAATGATAAAAAACTTATCACTATAAATGTTTTTCTTCTCAAAGCTGGAGACTGCATTCTTTTACTCAGAAAAGGTCTTCTCTATAATAGAGACTTGTAATGCAGTCTGTGTAGAATCCATTGCCTTACATTCTTCCATGATTCATTTGTTGCTTCTGTTGAAGCATATCTCAGATTGCAAGTGTTTCATAATACATAATCTGTTGTAATGCAGATGAGATATTGGAGTAGAACTGAATTTTAAACATTATTATCTTACTTAACATTTTAGTGTTACAAAAACAATAGGTGAGAATTTTATGATTAAATGATCTTGACAATACATGTCTCTGTTCATAAAGTCAGACCCAATAGGCTGCTTGTATTCCCTAGGTTCAACATACCCCAGAAAGTATCTGGGAAGAAAACTATTTAGAAATTATAGTCCATATTCCTTGAATTTGTTAACTGCAATGCATGCTTAACTTTGGACACTAGAATGAAAAAAAACCACCCAAAAAGCCAACCTGCCTTTCACTGAGCTGTATTCATTGTTATAATATAAATGATTTTTTGTAAACATTTCTGGCATTAAAATAAAATCAATATAAAAATACTGTATAGCTTTTATTGAAAAGGATGTAAGAACATTCCAAAGGGCAGGTGTAGATGCTGGTGTACTCCCACAAAGAACTTCTGGTGACAGACAACTTTGAGGGCGAAGGTTTATTGTTCAGGACAGCAAAATAAATGCTTTAAATTGTTTGAGAGCTATGTATAACCAATCTCTAGACATAACCAGAATGGTGTTCATTCCACTATCCTATGGTAAGACTAATGCCAACAAAGACAAAATATTAATAGAGACTTTTCCAGCATTTCCAAGAAGAATGTACATTATATTTGAAGAGAGCTATTTTAGAATCCAGTAAAAATTTGCTTTTTAAATACGTAATATGCTATAACTCTTTGTAACAATTACTGTTGGAGAATATATGTGTAGCCAGAAAAAAAGACATTGACGTTTTTCAATCTGTTTATCACTATTTTTTTAAAGGCCTTTCCTGTTGACAGAAACAACAGACTGAAGTTTAATACATTTGTCTAAGCAGGCTAAGATCCAAGCCACAAGATGTGATAGATTTGGTAAATAATTTTTCCAAGAGCTCATAAAATCACAGAATGGTTTGAATTGGAAGGGAACTTTAAAGGACATCTAGTCAACCATTATGAATAAAAGAAAATTGAAGAGGAGCAAAGAGATAATTTTTATTCTTCTTAAAGGATTTTTAGTTCACAGGTGTGATACTAGGAATTGATTTTATGGAAAGGATCACTGAGAGTACTTGAAAGATGTTGGTAAGCTTAATTCATGTAATGCACTATTTATATAGCAGACAGAAGAATAGCAAAGTGTCATGTTATATAAAACCTGAAAATACAAAATGAAAGAACTGGGGTAAGTAAGAAAGGAAGAAAACAAAGAGAGACAAATGGTTTCATGCAAACAGTGCATATTTAAACCAAGATTTTGATGAGTCTACAAACAAATAGAGGAACTTAAAACAATTGAGGGAATGATAAGGAGAGTGGAGGGTAAGACAAGACTAAACCAGAAGACTTACAAACATAGTGGCAGCAGCACAAAAAAAGTAAGGCACTAAATTAATATTTCAAAACCTAAAAACTATCAAATTTTCCTACCCACAGAGCCAGGCTGAATTAAAATGCAACTAAAGTATAGAGTTGTTCAGCAAAAATTCAATGGCTTAAAGATCCTAAAAAACTAAAGGTATGTCAGAAACTCAGGTAAGGGAAGTAGGCTCACTCAACTGTAAAGACCATCATTTTACAAGTTGTCAAATGATAAATTTATTGAATCAAATGTGTAAATCTAGGTGTTTCATAAGAATCCTGCTGATATTCAAGCACCTGGTACAAAAAACCTGCAAAACTTGGTACCCTTTTCCAGAACAGGAAAAAAAAATCACTTTCAAAATGATGCTATACTGGGCACTCTAGAAATATATCCATTAAATGCTGTTATTTCCTACCTTTATTTTTAAGCTCCTAAATTAGATTGATACATTTTTAATTTAACTGACCCACAGCAATATGAAAACCCTTATTTTTGGGAGGACAGGCAATCAGAATGCCTTAGAGACTACTAATTACAGACCGAAATCAAAGTCATCAAAGACTGAAAGGACCGAAATCAAAGTCATCAAAGACTGAAAGTATAGTAAATAGCAACCAAGGGTTTCTGAGGATGGCTGCCTCTTTGGTTCCAGTACTTCACACCACTGGCTCTCTGTCCTTCCTGTGTTCTGACTGTAATAAAGGAAACAGGGGAGTGGGAATATAAAACAGCTGTAAACTTTCCTTAATAGATTTCTAATTAAGGTAATAATCTGAACAAATAGCCTGTTACTGTTTGAAGATAAATGTTTTAAGGAACACAGAAATTTCAGTGGTTTTGCAGGCCTAGTGTTCTTTTTTTTTATCTTGTAAAACTCCTGGAACCTTAGCACAAATATGACTTGCCCTGTTTAAATCATAAAGTCTGTAAAATTTTATCAGTTTATAAAAAGGGTTTTTTCATAAAATTTATATGCTGTTTACTATAAAAAAAAATAAAGTAAAAGATATCTCCTTATCCTAGTAAGTGCAAGACCCATAGCATGGAATAGTAACATACCAGGGTCAAAAATTAAGCACAGCCTATGAGCTAACCATGAAATATCCTGGAAATAAAAGCATGACTATGTAGACAAAATAGAAATGCATCTCAGACTGGTAATAGATTTTAAAGCAGAACTAGGCCAACTCATATAATTAGATAGTTCACTAAATGTCTGGATTGATCAACACTTGGCTTCACACCATCTCGCAATATTCAGGATTGCCTTCCTCACTCTTTTTATTCACTCTTAATTCCAAGGTGAGCAGTACTGCTCTCATTCCTCTTTCTTGTCTCCCCTCCTTAGCCTCCAGCAGAAGATGCTGTGCCCCATGTGCTGATGGGTGGCTGCGTGGCAGGAACACGCTTTGACCGACCTGAGCGGATCACGCTCCCACAGCTGCTGTAGTCCAGACAGATTATTCTGCTCAGCCTTTCCCAAACCCCACTGTCTAACACTGGAGCTGGACCTCACCCAAGAGAACCAGCAACTATCCAGCACAGAAAACCCTGAGTGTTAAAAATCTCAGAAGAGCAGCAGGGTAACAGAACATACACTGAGAGGAGTACCCCACTCTGTGCTGATAGCATCAGCCCTCAGTGCTGGTTACAGGTGGCACAGCTGCCTCCTTTGGGTTGGATACTGGTAAAAATCTTCCTGAAAGAGCTGTCCAGCAATGGAACAGGCTGGGAAGGGCTGGAGTCCCCACTCCTGCAGGTATTTAAAAGACGTGTGGCTGTGGGACTGAGGGCAAGGTTTAGTAGTGAACTTTCCAGTTCTAGCAGTTGGACTTGATCCAACCTAAAAGTGTCCATGATTCTATAATCTTAAATATATTCTCTGTTGTAGTAATGAAAAGCATATGGTTGTAATTTTAGTGTTTTCAGCTATAAATATTTTTTATCTGGTATTATCTTTTCTCTTAGAAGGGGAGACATACTCTTTGACCATGATAACTTTTTTCTCAAATAGGCTCAATTACAATACTTAGTGAAACAGATTATCTGCTATCTCCTGTCCTGCCTTAAATGTTTCAGACCTTTGGTAGTGTTATTATTCCATTATGAAATTTTACAGGATATATCAACATATGTCTGTCAAAAAAAAAGATATTAACATTTCTGGACATTTATTAAAAACACTACCTATGCTATTTGTATCATTATATAAAGGCAATAAGAACATTCACACACTGACTTTTTTTCCCCCATTCGTAATTTTTGAGATTATACATTATATTTATTTTGCGTCTCTTAGAAACATATATACTTAATTTCCACTTAGTTTTCATCAGAAAAACATTGCAAAATTCATAATAAATTATAAACAAGAAATATTTCTACTGAACTTGGAGAAGTAAATTTAAACATCAGTACCTGAAACAACACCAATTCCATCATCACAGTCATAATCAGAGACTTCGCTGTCACTGATTCTTTTGGATCCTGGAAAAAGAAAAGACATGCATCATCTTCCTTCCTGTAAGTTATGACTACCCTCTGTCAATAATACATAAATTAATGTATGGATTTCATACTATACCATGAAGCATTAACATCAGCATATAAAGGTAATTATTCATGTTATAACTGCTGAACATATATGACTGCACCAATTATTTCAGTTAAATCTTTAATGTAATATAAAATGAAATGCTGAAATACATCTCCACAATATGGCTCTTATGAAATATTTTAATATAGTTTATATTCATTCCATATACACAGATATTTGTATTCATTCTGTACAGAAACTGGCATCACACTGTTCATCTTCCAAGTTTTCATATACAAGGCACCATCCCTCCCCAAAGCCTCTGAATAACAGAAAGATTATTAATAGCAATAAAATTAAATGCATGTAGTACTTTCTTCAAGTTCTTAATAAGGATTATCAGGAGAAAAGGAAGCTTCACACATGTAGTGTGCCATGGAACACAAGCAAGCTATTAAATGTATACCTGCCAAAATATCTAGAGCTGAGTTTGCAAAAGCAAATTCCTCTTCCACAATTAGAACCCAAATGTAGGTCACACAGGAAAAGTAAATATGCAAGGTTTTGCATATTTTTCAGCCTAAATTTACTTCAGTCTTCTGTGGCATATTTAAACAGTATTTGATTGCTGATATCAGGGTTAAACACTGGCATGTGACTGATAATTATTCATTCACTTATTTTAAATGTGAAAAATTCCCTGTTTTTCAGCAAGATGGTGTGTCTATTAAGTTTCTAAAACCATCTAAAAAATGGGTAATTAGGAGGCAGAAACTTTGATTGTCACCACACATCCAATCACATGCAAGATTTTTTTTTTCCCCTGCCTCAGGACAATTTTTCTGAAAAATGCAGACACAAAAATATCAGTAAAAAACTTGGAGTAAACCTGAAGAGGCGCAGGACAAAGCAGTCTCAACACTCTATCTGAGCAACTGGCACAGAAGGCTGTCTACCCTCCTTTCCCAGCAAAAAACTGGGAGATCATGTACTGAGGGTGGCTTTGACAAAAATAAAGAGTTTTCAATTTAAAGAAACTTTAGAAATTATTTGAATTATAAGAACTGCTGTCATTTTAGACTGTTGAACATCTGTTTACCTACCCACTAGAGGATAGTGGAAGGTCTTTCTTTATCAGAAAGAGTGTGCTTACAAGATCTGAGACTTCTCCTAAGCCGTCCTGTTTACAATAAGTAATCAACTTATTCTCCACAAATTCATATAATTTCATTTTTTGTCACAGTATTCTCTTGGCCTCTGTAATATTCTATGTCAGTAAATTCTGCAGTTGGGGTATGCATTGTGTGAAATCAACTTCCCTACATTTTATTTCCATTATCTCATTTCCAATGCTCTCCAAGCTTTTGTGTTCTGAGAAACATGAATCAGCATTCTGTTTTCTGCTATAGTTATCTCTTTGGTTTGCATTTTTTTGAGCTGAAATATCATTCTTTGATTCCTTCATACATGTGAACCTTTGAATATTTCTGATTGTTCCTGCTGTATTTGTTTGTATATTTTCAATTTCTTCTGTGCCTTATATGAGAAGTCAGAAGTCACTGCAGCAATTAAGATGTGGGGTGTATGAATTTGTAATCTAGACTGCAGACTATTTCTTTGAGGATAAAAATTTCTCAGTTTAAAACTTTTTCAACTAAAAAATGGTGCAAGTATGATATGTACTAATTCTTAGAAAACAATTTAGCCTGCCAATCCATTATGCAATTTCAGTAAAGAAATTTTAATTGTCTTTATTTAATTGAACTAAAGGTTGATGCTTTTCCCACAAATAGGAAATTAAAATTAGTTCAGCGGAAGTCATGCAATTCTCATATAGAAGCTCAATTTATTATAAAATTTTAGAAATAGCCATGCTACAATGGGTAGGGTACAAGAAACAACAAGTAGTCTTTCTCTAAAACAAAAAAAAATACAAGCAAGTGATGACGATTAGCACTCAAGAAAACCTAGAAGATGAGGGCAGAAATTAAGGAAAAGGTTTCAACCTCCTCTGATTTTTTTCTTGAGTATAGTATTACAAAGACCCACTCTCTCTTTTTTTTTCCCCCAAGAAAGCATCCATTCCACCTGTGGTACTGTCCCTGTTGCCATTTTCAGGAGAAGCCTCTAATGGTGTAGTGATACAAGTGCCAGTGAGCAAGAAGGATTAGTCTCCTTTCCTCTTAGCCACCGATTCAAATGCAGGTCCATTAAGAGAGGACAATATTTGTGACCAAGCACTAAGCAAGAGAGCCCTACTAGCTGGCTGGGCTGTGGCTGGGACCTGAAGGCAGAAGCCCCCAAAGGGAGCGCAAAGCAGTGGGATTCTGTCTTTGGGTAGCCCTGACACTGATCTTGCAGTGGGTCTGTGGCTGCAATTAATGTTCCTCAGGCCCTATCAGAGATAGATCAGATTGTGGCATGGGAAGATGGGGGAAATTGAGTTTGCTGATGCTCATCACGTGGCTGCTTGGAAAGGTTTTCATCATGAAAGATGTGAAAAGGCTGAATCAACTATGATTTGAATAGATGTCATTTACTCATCAACTAATTCATTCTTATGAATGAATCTAATTAATTACAACTGAGGTTGCTTTTTATTTATGTTTATATTTACAGCTAAGTGCATCTGCTTTAACATATTTTTAGAATATATATTCTGTATTCAGGAGGAGATATTTGCATCTTTGAGGATGAAAATAGTCAGCTGTTGTCACAGTGGGCTCTACACTTCCCAGCTGTGTAGCTAAAATTATATATTGTTGTAGTCACAGGATACATCTGGCAGAAAAGAGAGATTAAACTTCAACAGAGCACAGGCATAAAAGACAGGGTTCTCTCTCTCTTTCTCTCTCTCTGTCTTCTCAAGACACATCCACCTGTTCCAGACTCTCCTAATACCTCAGCTCCACGTCATCTTCCAGGATCTAGAGATCCGAGCTTCAGGGAAGAGCCAGTGCAAGAGAAAGTGAACGGGCCAGGACTGAGACCTGCCCAAAGGATGGGAGTAGAAAAAGAGTAAAAGCAAGGGAAGAATCAGATTTCAGTGATTTCTCAAACTGTCTTTGCCACTGAAGAGAGGAGAGTCTCTTGCAACACCTGACATCCTTAAATATGAAAGCTTGATCTGTAAAATGAGATATGAAGCTTGTTCAGCTCAGATCATCCATTCTATCTCCTCAAGCAGCTACAAGTCAGCCCTAACTAAGAGCTGGCTTTAACAAGAGCTAACCAGAATTTTAAGCAGACTTAAGCTAAGTCTGGTTTTACATACTTAAACCTATTGAAAAAAAACAGTGTTTAAGTAATATTTTTAATTTTCTTACAAAGGTAAATTTAAATGATAGTAAAGATGTCAGAAGAAATTTAAAGCAGAATTAATGACTTGGTCTTATCTTTGGCAATCAATTTTTTCAGGAAGGGAAAAGGAAAACAATGCTATGTCAATTAAATGTGAAATGTCAAGAACTACTGCCTGGAATACGTAATTTCTGCAAAGAAATCAAGATTATACATATTTAAAACCTCTTCCATTAACTTCAGAAATGGAACAAACTAGAAAGTGCACAGGTCAAAGCCTTTTATTGAAGCAAGTATTTGTAATGTCAGTATAATTGCTAGCAGATTAGTTTAATATTTCTTGGAGTTTTTGCAAGAGTAATTTAATCTGCTTTATATTAATTTTAGATGATACTTTTCTTTTTAATCTATTGACAATGTAATTGTGAAGATTTAGACATGTGTCCCACCTTAGCCATGTCTTTTCAAAGTAGTACTTCATTAAGTAATTTGGACCACTGATTACAAAAAAAGAGAAAGAACAATTCCTATCTTATCAGTGAAATGGGACACTTGAAGACTCTTACAAATTATTGCAAATTAATATTGTGAATGAAACTGTTACTTAGTATTTAGTTAAAACCTTAAACTCTTTGACATATACATTATAAAATATGGTCCAAAAATCAAGAGCAAGGAGTTTAAGTCCATTCTTACATAAATTCAGAATTCAGTAAAAATCTTATATTCCAGGATACTGTATACATTAAATGAATGCATTGGTGCCAATGGTTTGCCTGTAGTTAACTTTTTCTTTGATGCCATTCCACTAGAATGTAGTTTATTTATAAATGTCTTTTGGAGGTATTATTCACCTTTTGTCTGATAATCCAGCAGTAATAGATGGTAAATACAGAATTTCAAATCCCTTCCACCCAGATTAACAATTATTACAGTTATGGACTGAAGGCAAAATAGATCCCATGCTACTGTAACCCTCAAAAAATGCCTTAATTCAGCATAGCCCCAGGGAAATCAAATTTTTTTTTTTTTATTCCATTTAGCAAGTTTGGGTTTAACGGCCTTAAGCTGTCAATAAAAGTTTTCAGGGGAGAGTTTATACTGGGGACACTGGAAAACCTCCCCATCAGAACTTGCCAAAGTTCAGCATCCTCCTGCCCTTCCACACCTCTCTACTCCTTCCCTGCAATGCTGCTCAGGCTAACACCTCACGCAGCTGTTCTCATGACAGCTCTGTGAGAACATGTGCACAGCAGAACTGGAAGTTCACAGCACTTTCAGGGGTGGGGACAAACCCTGTCACCTAAAAACCATTCGGACTTTTATTTTCTATTTCAATTTAGCAAATACTTTCTGTTTAATTTCTTACTGTTTGCATTCTTACTTTCTATTACATGGAAAAGGAATTTATAATACAGTAGTTTCTTAATATAAAAACATTTCCATTATTCATCCTCAGGGATGAAGTAATGTAAAGAGAAAAATTAGGTGTTTCATTCAATTTCATTAATAAAATAGTTATTTTTTTGTAAATTTTTCATGGGATGCAGTGTTGGTGGCCATGGAAAGCTTTAACAACTTCAAAATAAAAATAATATGGGGACAATTGAAAAAATGTTTACAGAATATTCTTTGGTTTTCCCAAACCTGTCCATGCTTAAAAAGCATTTGGACAATGTATTTAATAACATATTTAGCTTTTGGTCAGCACTGAATGGTTGGGCTCTTGGACTAGAAGGTTGTGGTAGGTCCCTGCCAGCTGGAATATTCGATTCTATTTCATCAGAATCACATTTCCCTCCATAACAACATTCTAAATAATTGGAACTCTCCCAGATGATTGAAACAATATGCAAATAAAAATATTTACTCACAAAGCAACCAAAATCTGTGGAGGGTTCCAAAAAACCTTCTGCCTTCCATACGACAACAGAAGTTGGCACACAGCTTTTCTTCATCATTTTATTAATATGCAGAGGAAATAATACAAAATACCTTCTGTGTTTAATACTTTCCCCACAGACATTTCTGATAGACCTCAAGAGAAGACTAACATAGGAGGTTCAAAGCTCTACTAAAGTGCATATGACCAACCAACAAAGTTATCAAAATGAACTAGGACAGGTGATAGAATGAGAAATAAAATTAGTGTGCATCAGCCTAAATACAGAAGAAAGTGCCAAATTTATGGCTCAGGAATTCTGTGCTTTTCTTGTGGAGAAAGGAAAAAAAAAAGGGGGGGAAAAGAAAGCAGACCAGGCTCCCAATCCTGTCCCTTACAATGCAGAAAGCTTCTACAAGGCTTTGTGGACTCCCTGGGGCAACCAAGGGTAGTGAAGCATGCTTGCAGCTCCTTCCCTGGAGCTCACAGAAGGCCTCCACAACCACTTAAAGTCACTTAGCATTGCCTGTATTTCTTCTGTGTTCAGAGCTGACATATAAGCACCCCCAAAAGAGTCTCATAACAACTGTTTTAAGAATTTGCTCTCTGATATTCATCCAGCCTGTGCCCAAAGGTCCTTAGTGTGAGCTAATTTCTCATGCAGTCCTGCTGTCTCCATGTCAGTCTGTCACTTTATCATCCTGCACATGATAGTGGGGTTTAGAGGCTTTCAACCAACTACAGCTACACTGACAGAGGAGGAGTATAAATAACAAATTCTATTAAGTTCCTACAGGTCTTTGAAAATGCTCAGAATAGGAGAGATGAGAAAGATAAAAGAGAGATATACCACTTCTTGATAGAAGAGAGAGGTACAAATTGGAAGTCCTTAATCAAAAAGAAACTTTATCCAGCTAAAATTTGCAGCTAATCCACGTGTATGCAGGCCCACAGATGCCACACCAAACTTGGTCTCTCCCCTTGTGAAGATATTGTAAAACATGAGAAGAATGTGGGATTATTTCAAGAGAGAAAGGAGTAGAAGAAATATGGGAGACTGACATTAGATGTAATGGAAAATGGATTTTATTAGTACTTCTCTCAAGAAAGTTCTGCCCTAAGGGGGTTTTGTTTCTCTCCATCATGGTATGGATCTATTTTCATAACAATGTGAGTGTCATTTTTTAAACATAACTAAAAGATAATTAGTTGAACCAATTCTCAAAGAGATTCCAATAATTAAAACTGCAAAAACTGCAAAATGTCCCAAATGAAATGCACTACAAAATTTAAGTTGGTAAAAACTGAATGTTATTAATTTACTATATTTAATTAAGGCAAACTCCTCAAATGGAGCTGGATTTGTAATGGGGATTTATATCAACAAGAAACTGTAAAAATATATATCAGTGTAAATACTGATTTTGTCAGTACTTCATTTACCCCATGTCTGTATTTTAAAAATACTTACACTAGTTCTCAAACAGCTGTAATATAATAGCATTCCTTTTAATCCAGTTAAAGCTAGATAGCATTTTCCTAGTATAGTTAATAAAGCTCACTACAGTTTTCCTACCATAGCTCTACCTAAAATTAAGGCAAGCAAAGCAAGTATGGTGTTACAACACTGCTCCAATACCAATACTGAGACATTAAGAATAGAGAAAGAAAGCCAACAAATGACTTATTACTGAAAAGCAGACAAGAAAAGCCAAAGAACTTTTATGCAATTTAGTATCTGCACAATAGGTAGCAAAAGCACACCAATAAAATATCAAATTTTGCACATATATGGAAGCAATTAGCATTTCTGGCATGCTGAAAATTTACCTGAATTATATGAATATAAGCCTTTATCTGGAAAAAAAATATTGAAATGAAGTAGCGTCAGGGAAAAATACATGAACTCTCACATGTAACAGGGATGATTAGAACCTTAAACTTTTTTATAATTGCTGCCAGAGACGGAAAAATTTGATAGTGTAGGCCAGACTCCTTCAAAATTATAAAACTCAAGCAGCTAAGAGAAATTAAACCACAAAAATGCCAATCACTTCTGGATCAACAGCCACAGAGATCTAGTACAGCAATTTCAGTCATTTCCAATTTTGAAAGACAGTTGCATATTTTGCTATCAGTGTTTAACTTTTTAAGGGCAAAATGTATCTTCTTCTAGGCATACAATCTGAGCTGCTACCCTTAAAAATATTGCATGCTTCTGTTGGCACTGCAGCACTAGCAGAACTTTCCCAAGATGTAGCTTTCAATCCTACTTTAAATTTAACAGACTCTGAAATGATGTGCCAATCTTCTCCCTCCTGCTAGGTCTTGACCTGGCAAACATGTACATACATGAGAACCTTAATTACATACTGTTGTTACCACCGAATTTTAGAATGAGCTCAATGATTAAATGTTTGCAATACCTGATTTATTGTTTGCATTCCTTAAGCCTGACTGATTTATGTATTTTAGCTTTCCAAACAATCATACCAAGTTTTCTAAACTGAACCAAAGAATAGGATGTGGATATCTGGACAGTTCTGGAAACAGGAAATATTAATTGCATTCATAGATTTTGAAATGTGACTTCCAAAAGATGTCATAATACAAAGAAGGCAGGAAGCCAGAATAACATTAATAATACCTGGTCATTAGCAAGATTTTGTGAATAATTTTATTCCTTGTAGTTGAAAAGCTCACAGACACTGTATTAAACAGAAAAGAGTGCCAGTCTGTAAGTAAATGATGCACCTCAGATGATATGATATGACAGTGTTAGAGAAAATTTCCATTTCTTGCCAAATGGTGCTGTTAATGGATTCACTGGATGACTAAGTGCCTTCTGGCAAGTCACACTTTTTCTGACATCCAGGTACTAACTATTTGAATATATGGATCATATTACTAATTCACCTACTACTTACAATTTCTAGCCCTCTATATTTTCAACTTTGGTTTCTTGATAAATATAATACATTTTTATGTCTCAGACCCAGAAATCCATTAAGCAATTTAATTTCAAAGTGAATTATAGGGGCTTTTTCTGCATCAGTTACAACCTTTTAGATGTGATTTATTGTGTAACTTCTCTAATATTTGTATTTCTTAATACTAATCTCTTCTGGTTATGAACTTCATTAAAAATGACAATTATTTAGCTACAAAATTGTGAAAAATGCAGTTTAGAGACTTTGCCTAGTTTACAGGTGTTACCTGAACACCAAAGGTGGAAGCATGCCACATGCGACCAAAAAAAAATCTATTAACACAGGCTAGAAATTATTCATGCAGTTAAAACTCATGGGCTTTCTGAATTTAACTGCTGGACAGATCTTCAAAAGCATAGAGCTTCTTGAAGAGCACAAGAATATAAAATTAGTGAGATTATAATGGGATTGAGGACTAGGAAAGCAATATTTGTTTCTATATGGTCACAGCACAGAAAGGAAGAAGTCAGAATAGTATTAAAACCATCTGAAAACTTCACTAACAACTTCATTAAACAACAGAAGAGTAATTTATTAACATGATTTTATCAAGTATCAGAGAAATAAAGTAATTCTCTTAAACTGCTTCAAAACAGGTTTTTAAGTATTTTTATAGTTTAATTACAATTTAGTAAATTAATATCCTAAATGAGTTTCTTTTATTAGAAAAACAAAAATATTTTGACAGTTTAAGGCCTTTTTGGACATCCCTGTATCATGTTAAATACCTTTTATTTAAAGTATTTAATAAACCATAGATGTACAATAAAATATAATAAATAAATAATAGATGTACAATAAATACAATACTGGTATATATATCCATATTCTGTGAATAAAATATCAATGCATGCAAAAAAAGATAACATGCTTAAGGTTTGTGCTCCATTCAAAGAAAGAGAAAAAACTAAGGAAGAAGCATGAAAGAGAAAATTAATTGTCATTTTGTCTCTCTAGGGTAAAATTCATATAATAAATTAATCATGGCCTGTACCACTGACCATAAAATGCTCCATATTATAATTTGGAAAAAAAGTCTCTGACACGTGTGTCCATTAATTACAATTCACTTACCTACTAGTCAGCAGCATTATTATCATTTCCTCAAGTCAGGTTCAGTGACATTCATTGAAAATTATCGTGCTGACTTCCCAAACTCACAACAAACTAACAGGAAATTGCTGAGACAGCAAGATCCTGATCCTGCAGTAAAGTGAGCCTCTACAGAGCTCAAGGAAGTGAATAATTTTCATTGGCCATCATTTCACAGGGGCTTATATTTCACAGATTAAAGTTTCAGATACATTTGTAATTAATTATTGTTAAACTTTAATGATTTTGGTACTACGAAATGTATATCTTGATGTTCAACAATATAGACTTGATAGCTTTACCATTTAAATAATGGAAGAGGGGGATTAAATTAACAGTTATGACATTCTTCCTTGATCAGATGGTAGAGCCACAGAATGTTCAAAAACTAAAAATTGTCAGCACTCAGCAATGACAAGTTCATCTGAAAATGTTTTTCAAAACTTAATAAGTAATGGGATTATCTATTTTTTAATTCAGTCTAGCAGTTTGATTTTTTCTAGTCAGATTTAATAATTTTTATCATGTTAAGGTCTCAGCATAGCTGCAGAAAATACAGTCTGATGGAAAGATGTACAAAGTAAAAAACTGAAAAGATGACAAAATTTTTCATGTTACTCAAAACATTTTGTTTACACATTATAGATTTTCTTTATTCCCATCCAAAGAATGAATAAAATTTGAAAAAAAATAAAGATATGTATAGCTTTTTGCACAACATATGCAGATTTTTTTAGAATGCAACCATAGCCAAATTTTGCCCCAACAGTTTAAGTTCTCATTACTGTAATTTCTCTCCCTCCAGATTTTTAAGGACCTGGTAAATCATGAAATTCAATGAATGGAGTCATTGATGAATTTCATTCTAAAAGTGATGGAATTCCATTTACAAGAAAACTACTCCAAAGACTATTTACATTTCTTTTCATTTTGATTGGTTTTTCTGGTCTTCTGATCTTGGGAAAAAAACCCATTTTTGACTTCTATATTTGGTTTTCAAACACTGTAATTTCTAAAATCTTTGATATCTTGTTCTCAGCAGAATTTATCTCCCATACATTTATTACTTCTCCATTACTGAGGATGCTCAAAATATATATTTTTTTTAAACCATATTGTGAATTCTCATGGTATTCAAAAGCTGTAGAGATCTGCTGCTGTACAGACCTATGCTGCAGCAAGAGACCTGAAAATGTCTGGTTTATTGCTATATTAACATTTCTTCTTATTTGCTCACTTAGCTGTTACCTACACTGCACATTGCACTCTCTGTGGGCTGCAGATCAATAATTCAGACAGCTTCATTTTAAAGCTGCAAAATCTGACTTAGAAAACTAGTGCCAGTTGCTTTTCAATCCTAAGTATTTGGGAAAGTCTTAAAACTTGGAGTAAAACAAAATCTGCTTCTAAACAAATTCAGCATCAATATAAAACTAAAATATTGTTGTTCTCCAAAACAAAAAATAACCCCATATTTTTTCTCAATTCAACAATATCAGCTCACACTACACAAATGCTCACATTACATGGATATAACTGTAAAGATGGAATAAGAATGCATCATATCCAATTTGATTTCCATCTCTATATTCTGGGCTCATGGGGAGGAACTAACTTTAGATACACAATCCAATCCCATGGTATAAACCTTGTTTGATTTCTGTATCATTTCTCAACAAATAGAAATACCAACAATAACTTCCACATCCTAATAACCATGGACACAGCACCCAAAGCACATTCAGTTTTGTGTGTATTCTCCAACAAGATTCTTAGCTAATGTGAGATAGAAAAATAGCCTGCCAAAAATGGGTATTCCTAAATATTCTCTAAAATTATTTTTAATTTTCTGGTTACAATCTTTTTCAGAGGCAATATAAAAAGAACTTCAGTTTGGCTGTAATTCTAATTAATGTTGCCTGGAATTCTGGGTGTATGGCTGATTTTATGGTAAATGTTAGAGAAAATGAAGTAATTTTAAAAACTCACTTTGAAAGTTGAACACAATAAGTAAAATAGACCTACCCATTACCCCACATTTCTCATAATAAAAAGCTTAAAATATACTCATTGGATCAGGTTATGAAAATCTCAAATATAATTAGCTGAAAGAGCTAGTAAGTCATAATCCTATGTTCTATATTAGTTCCAGTTTCTAAGTAGATGTCTGTCAAAAAACACAAAGGAGAAAGTATGGGAATGATTCTTTATCACTAGGAAGTTAAAGGAATGTATGGATCAGAGGACTGGGAAAGAGAAGGTGGACAGCTGACTTAGATCAGTCTGTACCACAACACACTGCCCACTCAAAGGTATTGAGAGATAAATATATGTAGAAACTAAGCCACTGTCTCTGAAAGCTGGCTCCTAAAAAACCAGCATATGGGGCTCTGTGGGAAGCTTGCACTTTGCTACTGGCAATCTGTAAATACAACTTCACTCCTCAGGGCTGACAGTCTGCTCTTCTTCAGGAACACTGCAATCCAGTGATATTAAAAAGAGAATAGAAGTGGTAAGTGTAGGTGGTTCTTTTAAACTACCTTTAGAGAGTAACACTTAAGTATTGTCTTCAAATAAATATGTTTATCCCTACTCGACAATCATAAAGATAAAAAAGCTTAGAAGTGTAATGCGTATTTATACAAACAAAAAACAACCTTGTAATTCAAAATATCTCTCCTGTCATTTCTCACACTAACAATTTTTGGGGGTATTCAATAAATTCTTTCATCACCAATTCTATACATAGAGGCAATGCAGAAAAGAACAAAAGGTAGGAGGACTGAGCTGCTCAGACTATGCACCCCCAAAAAATTGAAATCAGCCTGCTTAATAACAGCCCAGCACATGTTCTAAAAAATGCTTTGAAAAGCATTGACAAACATGCTAGATGTGCCTTATTCTAGAGATTTTCTTCACATTGTCATAATGTCCTGCTGGATAACATCTGTTTCATCATATACAAGAATGTTATTGAAAGATACAAAAACGTCTTCAGACACAAGAAACTAATATATTGACTTCATACTCTTTTGACACCTCAAAAAAGGTAAAAATCCTAGACTTCTATGTATTATTAATATAGTATAAATATTTTACTTAGTGAAGGCAAAAAGGCTAAAGAGGTGCTGTCTGCCCTTCACCAGTCCCTGGTGATGACATTTAGATTGGGAAGAGCATTTTTGGAGCCCATCTGGTGCAATGCCTGTCTCAGGCCTGGCCAACTTACACTGCAGTGTTTACAGCCTTCTTCAGTTGAGTACTGGACCTCTCAGTAGGACATTGCACAACCTCTTTGGACACCAAGAAGTACTTTTATTTTCATTTCGGAGGAGTGACAGCAATAAAAGAAAAATTGTGTTTTCCCACTGCTAAACGGATTCGGCTGCCATAGCTGAGCTCTGATCAGATGCTAAATTTCCAGTTGTATACTTTTTCAGACCCAGAAAGCAAGGGTTTTAATTCTAGGATACCTTGTTCTGTACATTTAAAACTTTCTGTTTAAACTGAAAATTATTTATGATACACAAATATTCAAGACATGAATATATTCCTAGGCCACTAGAGAAAATCCTTCATTATCGGGTGTCTATCTCTGTACAAAAGGAAATAGGATAATTTAGTGTAGGGACATCTGAATTCTCCAGCAATAATAGTGAACATCTGAAATTGCTTATTTGCTTGAAGTTTTTAAAACCAGAGGCTGAAAAACTAGTGCTCTGGGAACAGTCAGGTTAACCATCTTCATTGAAAAGCAGAACTTCTATACCAAATATTAGTATTTCACTAAAACAGATGTTTTGCTAAGTCCTTTCCTCTATATTTACAGACAAGCATGTACAATTGTTCAGTTGACCACATTATGAGTATTAGTATTTATTAGCTATTTTTTATTATTTATTAGTACATAGATTACTATATAAAAAACCTGAATGTCTTTCAAATTTTGAGTCAATATCATCCAATAGATCTTTACTCAAACATCACTAAAATTTGTTAAAAAATAAATCCTAAATTCATTCTTAATGGCAGTTATTTATTGCACTGACAGAAATTCTGATAGACAAACAGCATTTGTTTGCAGGACTGAATATTTCCTGAAAACCAGAATTTCACTAACTTCACATACAAAGAGTGCAACTGGTCTGTAAAAATAGTTGTAGATGGAAACTTAAGATATGTTAAAAGATGGCATAGACCATATAAGAAATATAGTTTTAAAACTTTAGTTAAATAACAGTCATGGCATATGAGAAGACTGAAAAGGATTGAATTGCAATAGAACTCCTTGCCTTTTAACTATCACTTATTTTATCCGTTTGGGGACAAGCATAATCTTACAACTTCAAGGCTATGCAGTGTAAGTCTCTGACAGTGTGTCTATCTCAGAATATTATGATATGGAGCATTTTAATCCTTCTCACCATCAAGTGCACAGAAGCAAAACAGATCAACTGCTTGCAACACTTGTATATAATGGGTGATGCAATAAAGACTCTACATAGCACATATGAAATATCCAAGCTTGTTTTCATGACTACACACATGTTTCTGTGAGTTTGTGTGAAACATGCACACACACTCACATACAATGACTCAAAGAAACTCCAAGTAAATCTTAAAAATTGCATTGGGGTTGTTGTGGTTTTAGGGTTTTTCTGTTTGTTTTGGGGCTTTTGTTTTGTTTTGTTGGGTTTTTGTGGTGGTGGTGGGTCTTTTGGGTCTAATTTGGTTGGTTGATTTGGTTTGTTGGATTTTTTAAAATAACTGCCAAATGTATTTTTAAAGTTTATTCTGTGAAGAAGAGCTTTAAATCACTGGCAGTATCGAACAGTTAAACTGGAGAAACCATGAAGTGTTAAAGAAGCAGATTTTTCCCTTTTACTGTCTTATTCTTTTATCTATCTATTTTTATTACCATATTTTATATACTCTAGTTTCAAAAAATCTACTGATAACTACTATGGACCAGGTATAACAAATTCTACAAAGTAGAATTTTTAAAGAAATTCCATTTGTGAATCTAAACACATAAAATAACATCAAAGCAAGACAACAGGCCATGGTATTAATTTATCTACATATGATGTTATATATAGGTTACTTTAAGAGAGAGATCCTGTAAATCTACTTATGCTTAAACAATGAAATTATGAACATAATACAAAAGAAAGAGCTTCATGATAAAAAGAGCACATTGCGAAAACCAAGATAATTTTCTCAAGCTGAGTTGTCTTATAAGAAAAAAATGGTGCAATGCACAGTGGTTGATACCATTTGTAGCCTGTCAGACTTTCATCAGTAAGCACAATGATCTAATACATAACAGCTACAAATTAACATAAAAATTCTGTCAGCTTTCCATTTGCAAGAATTTAATAGATTTTATTATGCATTAATTCAAATGAACTATACACAGTGTGAAAAACTAATAATAACCTACTTTGTAACCTCCGTGTGGGACTCTCTCCATGGAGCTGTCTGCGTGGCAAATATGGTGAGGGATGGGGAAGTGGCAATGAAGAGACATCATGTGTTTGAAGTTTGTACCAGTGGGGTTCATCATCTAGTAATGCTGTCTCTAACTCAATAAGAATCTAAAAAAGAAAGAATGGTTAAAAGTAGGAAAGCATTGCATGACAGAATATTTTAAAATAGATATACTTATAAATGTTATTCTATTATTCTTACACTGCTAAGGATTTTGTCTGAAGTTATATAAAAACCTTGCTTTAATATGAAAGAATCTTCTGTGCCTTTTAGAACACTAAATATACCCAAATATCATTCACAAAACCCTTATTACCTTATGAGAGCCTTTACAGCTTTCAAATAAGTAAACGAGCAACGTTCCAAAGTTTTAGTAAAATATGACTATGGATAATATGGATTTTAATGAACAATTAGAAATTAAGAAACCACATTCATGCTGTTACTAAAACAGAAAAAACACAGAAAGAATCTCATATCAGCATTATATGATATGTGTGAGATCACTGTTTACTACTAAGTGAAAGAAAAAATAAAACAATAAAACCAGCTTTGATTTGCACAGTTAGTAATTTTTTCAAAAATAAGTATCTACGCATGAGTATGAGAGAGCAACTGTATTTCTATAGCAACTACCAATACTTGTATACCTCTCCTAAAAATTCACTTTCTTCCTCTCGAACTCGTGCTTGGTCCCAAAGAGTGATTTCTAACATTCGTTCTCTAAACTCTCTCCGATGAACTGGAGAATAAATAAATGTCTGATTCCACTTAGGTTCCAATGTTTTCTTTACTGTTTTTGTTCTTCTTTTATTTTTATCACTGAAAAAAACAGTTAAATATTAAATAGGTTCAAAACACCATTAAACTGCATTAAGTATATAATGGAAAATAGGAAATCTTAAATCAGCAGTTCAGTTTGCAGGATCATGGGTACTACAGTCTACATTACAAATTTTCCTTTATTATAATGATCAGTGCATATACTGAGGATAATTCATAAGTTCATATTAAAAACTAAGGTTAGGTAATTTCAAGTTTAAGTGCCAATTCCAATTTTAAGATGTTTCCCAAAATCCACAAATGTTTTATTATGATTTTGGGTGTATTCTCTTTTATTTTGCAAGCAGCATTTTATAAAGTAAAATGTACTGCCATAAATGGGATTTCCACAAGGCAAAGTCTGACAGTAGAACATCTCTACAGACAACACGGGGCATAGCAAACACCGGCATTTCAAAAAATGATCCAGCTGGTTCACTCAAGCTCCAGTCCTACAGCGGCTCCTTCCAACTGCAGAGCGGGAAGGAGCAGCTGGCTCACACAAAGGAATGGTCAGGGAGCTGGGACAGTGCAGGGTTTCCCTGGCTAAAGGCTCCTTATCCACCTGGGAAACCAAAAGCCCCAAAAATGAGTTACGTGTTCTTTTCCAGCAACACTGGAACAAAGAGCATTCTCAAAACAGCTTCCCAAATCCTCTGGTCACTCCAATGAATCACCCAGGCTAAAGGTGCACCTCCACTGCGAGGTGAGGTCTCCAGGCAAGGATACCCTGGCAACCTTGGCTCTGGCTCCAGGGCATTGTTGAAAGCAATGTTTTTGCAGAATATTTCTGCTTGAAAGAATGAATATTTTCTGATTGAAACAATTTTCACTGGAAAACACCCACACTCCTTCTACTGAGAATACTGACAAGAGTCCTCATAACAATGCTTATTTTAAACCTGCTGATTGCTGCATAATGCAGCTGCCATACTAATTTATAAGGATTTTTTAATAGGCAATGCAGATAAAGTCCATTCGTTAATACTTGCAATTGTAATAAAGTCATTGTATTTGTGAACTATTACTTGGAAGTTGTATAAAAAAATTACCTAAGTAAAAATATTTTAGACACACTGTTAAAAAGAAACATAAATTATTTCTAGCATACTAAAGGTTTGTTTACCCTTGGAACTGAAATAAGTTATACTGTACAACATTTTTCAATTAAATTTCCTAATTCAAAGAGAATTCAGCATCTTCATCTAATTAAATGCTTGACTTACTTAAGTGTATTTTACCTCCAGCATGTTTCTTTCTACTACACAAGAAATATACTCTTGCTTACTTAGTTTTTAAATCTAAGGAAAGAAAAATGAGTTTCCACATCAGAAAAGATCCCACAATTCTGTAAGACAAATTGCTGATCATAAACACATAAAACAACCAAAGAAAAATTCTGAATACTTCTCATAAATGGGAAAAATTATAGATTAATAAAATTTAATGTTAATATATTTTTAGTTATCACAATTTGCATTGCAAAACATTGTGAACACACATTTTTTAGCCTATTAATTACTCATCACTATTGAAAAAGAAGGTAAGATAATTGAAGCAGACCTGCTTCTCAGTTTAGCACAGCTTCAGCAGCTAGAAACACACTGCAGCAGTTTGAATAAACCAGGGATCTAAACCAACTGTTCAAATACTGGTGAGCCTGAGAAAATCTATCCAAAACCTTTTAATCATCAATGACACAGCAAATTAGGTAGTCACAGAAAATTTGCTTGTCAACATATGGTATACAATGAAAGTGGAAAAGCAACTTGGAAAAGTCTTCCAAAACACAAAATAGCTTTAATTCCTGCTGAAGCCAAATGGTAATGGAGATAGCTAGCATCTTCCCAGTTTAGCTACTGGGAAAAGCAAAGGAAGTAAAAATAAAAGTTACATTCTGTTCTACAGATTCAGCAATCCACTGATCTATTATTTTGAGTGATATTAAAGCTTTGAATTATTTGGTTGATACATTATAAAATAAAGGTAAACATGTTCCCCTACTGACACAATCTGAGGAAACATGAATTTAAAAAAAAAAAAATAAACTGGAAAACACACTATCTCTTCTGCTGTTCTTCCCAACACCTAAATTTAAACACAGAAAATCATGGACTAAGAAGTGAAGGAGTTTTTCAGGAATAGGGGTCCTACCACAGTTTAATTTTTCCTAAGAGCATATATGATACCATCCAGATTAACATGAGTCCTGTGCTTTAGGGAAAGTTTTCAAAGTGCAAATGGGAACACTGAGCTGAGTCCCCTTCAGCCTTAATTGACTTATACTGTGAACAAAAATGGGTGGGTTTCAGATGCCAAACCTGTTACTGCTTTATTGTATAATGGTGGGGTAAACTAAACTGCTGCACTCATCAGTCCAGAAATTTATCAACCTGACTGTGTAGCATCTTCTTTGCTCCAGAGAAGAATAACTGGCATAGGAAATAAAGGCATTATAATACACTAATAACATTCTTTGCAAATAACAGATCCCCATGCAAAGACATATGTTTACCTTTCCTTTTCTATTCAGTATTTTATAATATAATCAGGAAAAGCAAGTTTGTGCTTAGTGTTCAAAGACACCTTGCTGTTACATACCATGTTCAACACAAGAGCTCAACACTGTAAGCTTTTTTCCATGCAAGTATGGCTGATAAACTCAGCTGTGCATGTCACCTGAGTATCAGATTAATTCAAATATTCCTTGTCTTTGCGTTCACCCTACCTTCTGTCTGGAAGAAAGTAAATTTTAACATAAGGATTCCTTGGCCTCCCATCTTCCCTTGAAGGAAGATCCTTCGCTCCCAGTATGGTCACTATTAACTGATGACCAACCTTGTCATACCACAGTTTTATCTGTAGGAAGAAAATATTGATTAGTGAACTCATTTCTACAATGAAGTTGTATATTAATTCTTCAAAATAATTTTGCTCATGAGCTTCTATTTATTTACTTAAACAGAAAATATTTTATTCTACTTTTCATTTATAACAAAGAATAAAAATAAGTTAATATTGTAATAGCTTCAGTATATACCAGGAGTTACTCTTTTTTTAAAACCCTGTACTATAAGTACCTTACTTCACACTAATTGTATTTCACATGGTGCTCTGGTTAGGATTATTCTCCCTTGTATAGTATTATTTGCATTACTAATGTATGGTATTCATATATATACATCTCTGAGGAGTTTATGCACAATGAATTAATAATTTTTCATCTGCTGTTGTGCTAAAGAGACTATGGGATAAACCAATAAAAATTTCACATCACTTAATATTTTTTAACATATATACACTTAATTTGAAATCATATAAGTCCTCCATAAATACTGAGAGGAAGGCTTAGTAATCCAACACTCTTCAAAGTCCAACTCAGTGACAAGGTAAAAAAACACTATTATTCATTTGCAGTAATTCTTACTAACCAGTCTAAGGCTTGATTTGCTATCCTTTTTCACTACAGTCATTACAAGCTGCTATGTAGCTATTTCAGTTTGAATTCTATGACTGCAAGTACATCAGCCAAGAAAGGGATATGACTACTTCAGAGCAGTCACTGCAGAAGGGGAAAATGGTGCAGTTAGGGCAAAACAAAGCCTTCCAAATGGCCAGGGAGCCACTACATGGTGGTAGCACTGCAGTGCTACTAGCTGCAGCTCACTGAGGAGGCTCTCTTCATAAGTGGTGGTAGCACTGCAGTGCCACTAGCTGCAGCTCACTGAGGAGGCTCTCTTCCTTATGAAGACTTTGCCTGAGACAGAACAAACTAGGACATTTAAAGAAAACAGTGACTCTGCCTGAACTTAAGGGAATCAGAGAGGATAATGCCCAGCTGCACACCTAACCAGACAATACACCTTTAGGCATGAATATACCCTAGCTAAGGTAGACATAAAGAGGGGAAGGTGCACTTTCTGTGGAAACCATCTCACTTAATTTCAGAGACAGGGTTTTCATCTACTATCATAGCTCCTCATCGTCAATATTTCAGTCTCCTAAAGAATGGTCTTGATGTAATTCTCAAGACTTTTAACCCATAAAGAAGAGGCTGATTTAGCTCTCTGCCATTCCTAATAATTCACTAAGTGAGATTACACTAAGACACGCCAACTCAGTTATTGGTGGCAGTGTACTTCTTCCTTCACTGCTTCAGATCTTGCAATTCCTGTAGTCACAACCATTGGAATGGATATTAAAAATGGGATATTTGTCCTTCATTACCCTGTCATTGGCCCTGCTACAAACTTTAAAGGTTTCTGGTACTAATAGCTAAAGGGCCCTGTGGCTACTCATCTGTGTGTGAATTTTAGATGTCATTCCTACATTCTTGCAAGCTAGGGGCTTTGACAGTATTTTTTCTACATTGAGAATTTTCTGGACTTCTAGCTATCTCCATCCAGCTACAGACCAAAAGCAGAAAGCTTTGTACCGACAGTACAGCTTTAATGACCTCTGAAGTACAAGTCAACTTAAATATTCTTTGGCACTAAATGTATCCACCCGCAGGTTTCCTTGGGAGTCCTGAAGCAAAAGACAGACTTGGTTTGCCCCACATCTCGAGGGGAATAGCACTGAAGACAATCTTCTTCATTTGCTTGTTGTGGAAAATTATGCTTGCTTAAGGAGAATGAAATATATTTGTGATACAGACACTATCACAAACCATGACTGATGAATGTGAAATCATCTAGATATAGGCATCAAAAATACAACCAGAATTGTGTGTTCATATGCAAGCTAAATATATTTGTTTCAGACTGAATTTTTACATGAAAACTTCAGTCAAAATATTTAGAGAACTACTTAAGCAGAAACTGAAATCATCTGACACCACTTCATTGAGATTCTTTAAAAACTATAGTTTGGAACAAGAGCTCAAAATTCGCATTGACTTGTACCTTCTACTTTTCCCTTGATGTTCTTAAATAAAAAAATTGGAAAAACTTGAACTTAATGGGCATATTTTCCCTCTAATGCTCTTTAATTTGCCTTGTTACAGGAAAAGCCAGGAGTCAGAATGAAGACCAGAAAGCTCTCTCTCTCCTCTATTCACACTGCTAGCACTCCAATACACAGCACAGGTACTTGTAACCCAAGCAGTCGTTTGACTAGGATTCAAGGAGAGGAAAGGAAGAAACTGTGAGAGAATGGTCAAAGAAGCCCACACAGGGGAGAATGGGATTGCATTCTTATGGGATTAAAGGAAGGAAGAAGGGACAAATAAAAAGCTGCTTTATAATTACAGTGAAAGTTAAATAGACAAGATACTTCTTGGTGAAACACGGGAAGGATGGAACCACTAATGTCAGGGACCAGAGATTAAGAGAAGGGCAAAAGTAGAATGAATGAGAGAAATGCTATAAGGTGACAAAAGAACTAGCCATGCTAACTGGCACAAAATATGTTGAAAGAGAGACTGGGATGAACAAAAATGTATCAAGATTTTTTACACACACACACACACACACACACACACACACACACACATGCTTTAATAAGTTTAGAACATCTAAGAAACTTCAACAAAGCCAACAAAGCAATCCTGATCTAAATGAAGGAAAGGAAAAGCTAAACGAACACCACATAAAATCAGCTACATAAAAAGTCATGCTGGCTGATGCTAATGTCAAGACTAACACTTGAACAAAACCGTCTTGAATGGGATTTTGTCTCTCTAGGTTACTTAGGATGTAGGCACCTAAGATTCACTTAGAAAGTGGTGCAACCTGAATACTTTCCCACTTTACACTGAAGTCCTGGAGACCAATTAGCCACACACATGCTCATATACCTTCCTTCCCTGGGCTCCTTCAGCAGCCAGACATGCACCTAATGCTTTATTAAGCTTCTACCGTGACCTACATTCAGGCCAACAGACATGTGAATTCAGTGCATCCTGATACCGAGGTGCACTGGGATGGTCTGTTATTCACAGAGGGATGCATCTGCTGCAGACAGGCTGCCAGGTAGGAATAACTGCCACAGAGTGCAGGAAACAGGAACTCTTCTGCACTCAGAGGATTGAAGGAAACAGAGATGTGGGTCTGACCCCAGTTTCATTCTTTCTGGTTTTTAACCAGTAGTGGTCAAATACAAGAGCAATACTCATGTAGGGTATCAGGTCTGGAACCTGCTATGCTAAACTGAAGAATGCTTTGATAACACCACACTTCTATTCCCAGCCAAAGGGTATCTCAGCTTCAGATGAGACTTCATACTCCAAAGAATGGGATGTGGCACAGCTTGATGATAAAGGAACTATTTTGATACACAGGTTCAACTTCTTCAGTCTAAACAGTATTTAAACAGCATTTAAACAGCATGTGTTCTGTTTCTGGAATAAGCTTCCTACACAAACAGTATATAAAAGCTGACTGCTGGTGTTGCATTCTGAGAAGTGAGGATGCAGGTATTTAGTACATCTAGCTGGTATTCATGTTTCACAGAATCACAGAATAATGGGTAAGATTGGTTCTCTGCAGCCTCAGTAGAAGGTAGAAGCCTAGTAGAAGCCTCCCCTGGAGAATCAACTCACCTCTGCAGCAGCCTTAGTTTCAAATAGAGTTAGTGGGCTTAGGTGTCTTTTATTTGGGTTAATCACTCTCTGCAGGTATTGAGGTACTTAGATCTTTCCTTCAACTGTATAAGTGAAAGCTCTTCCTCAAGGCACCTCAAATGTATTTGAAGTTAGTATAAGTTATATAAATTAAGGATATAAATTCAGCTTACTAGATTTCATCTTTTTTTATTAGATTTCATCTTCACTAAAAATTAGAAAATAAGTAATCATGTATAAGAACAATTACTCTTATTTCCCCTGATAAGGAAATCAGTTAAGAAATTCTAGATAATATTATTGTTGCACTTTCTATACTCCTGTCTCATGAATGTTTGACTGTTTGCTCAACTATGCAATTCTAATATAGTTTTATATACAGGACATACAGGCAAAACATATCCTCAGTCATAATTTAGATTTAGAAACAGAGAATATTTGAAGCTTTAAATCCTATGCTACAGTTATATCTTTGTTATACAAGGGTTACTCCATGAATCTCATGAAAAGAGATAAAACTTGTGCCACTGGGAGAGACCATCTGCCCTACAGCTGATTTTTACCACCACAACCTACTCAAACATCACTGGCTTTTAGAGACAGCTGGCTGGGCATGTTTTTTTCTTCTGTTGCTCATTATAATTTTTCATGTAACCTACATAGATGTTTATTATGTTTATTATTATTTTAAAATTATATACTACTTTTCTTTCTGACACTATTCTGAAATCAAAGATATACCAGTGGGATCTGTTGTTTGGAAAAAATAAAAATCTCAGTTTATTTTTAAAAATACTTTCAGTAATCTTTTTATTGGACTTAAGCTTATGTAGATGCTGAAACTGCCCTAAGGTGGTGAAGTCTTTGGCATAGCTGAGGCCAGTTTTGAATGTTGTTAAACACACCTCTAAAAATCCTGAGCACTGAGGGTTGCTAAATCAAACTACTATTGCTTTCTGCTTCAGTTGCTGTCTAATATGCTTGAACAACTACAAGAAAAGGCTGTCAAATGGAAAAGCTTGTAGGATATAAAGGCCAGGAAATTATAGAAGTACTTAGGCTGCCCTAATCTAAGTTTCTTTTTTAAATCTCTTTTTTAGTGGTTTTACCTTTTACATATTTTTATACATGATCAAATATATTGATCTGTATGAAAGCCAAAAGGATGGCTGAAATTTTTGAAGTTAGAAAAAACCCAGAGGCAACTCTGGCTCAAAAGAATGTTTTGCCAAGTAAACAAGAGATACTGCATAGAAAATACAATTTTAAGAACAGATTTTTCCCTACAAAGATTCATAAAGCATCACTCTGCAAGTTCGACAATTACTGGTATGCCAAACTGAATCTAAAAATTCAGGAAATAAAGATGTACTTTTACAAGTACTGTAAAATTAGTAAAAGCTCAGTGGGCATTTAATAGGAAAGAAACTGAGTGTTTTTCTTCCCAATGAATAATGATGATTCTATGAAATCATCCAGTGAGTTAGAAGATGAATGGAATGTCATGGAGGGAAGTGTGGAAGAGGAGCTTTGCCAGAAAGGATCAGTTTCAGACTAACAAGCAAAGAAGATGCAAGCAAGAATAAAGATACGCATTTCCTGTTGAGAGCCATGAAACAAATAAGTATAAGCAGAATGTCTGGAGATTCTCATTCTTGTAAGGACTTCTACAGACACAGCTATACCTCAGCCCACAATGAAATGTATACTTCCTGACAACCATAAACAGCAGCTCAGAGCTCTGATTTAGTGAATTTGTCATGCCAAAAAAGTAACCAGAGTTCTGCACTGCTGCAGGAGTGATCCTAATACTCTTGTTTGAAGATCACTGGAGAATTCCTCTTCTTCCAGCAGCCTGCATGGTAACTATATCTAACATTAATCTTTTTATACTATCTATTATCACCACTAAAAGTGGGCAGATGGATGACTTTTTGTTTCAGAGTAGAAAGATTGTAAAGATTTCGCTAAGGTCATAATTTTGAGTTCTTCAGGAACTCTTGTAAAAATCCTTATGTTTAGCACTGACTGTTACTAGGCTTTGCAAAAAGAAAACTGTTAGACAGGTCCACATGGACTCCACAGGCACTGATTTTGTAGACAAAACTGGGGCTAAGGAAAATTCTTACCTACAATATAAAAAATAATGCATCCAAAGAGCGAGCAAGTAAGCCTTAAACATTTTCACCTCTTGTTAGATATTTTCTAGCAAACATGACACTTCTTTTCTTTTCTCAACTACTATAATCATTTGAGCAAAGTATTTTTTTTTGTTTCACGAGAGGATATTAGTCTAAGTAGAACAGACAATTTTTATGTCTATGTCTTTATTTTGTATAATGGATTTAAAATAAGGAACTACTACATGTTATTTCTACATTACAGTATTTCATGAAACATGCAGGTTTCAGGCAGAGATTTCCTTTTTAAATTGAACAATCAACTGTCATATAATTTTTAAATTTATTTAGCACATATATAAAAAGAAAATAAATATTAAAAAACTACATATGCCATATATAATATTTACCTCTATGAACTACTTAACAACTTGCAATTGTACCTCTCTGATTTCATTATCATGAGCAGAATCCAACTTTCTTAATAAAGCTAAAGGATGTTTTAAATTTTTCATACAAAGCCAGTTTATGTCAATATCACATAATATATTAGCTTTAAATCATACAACCAAGGCATTATTTTATAATGTCTTTTTTCTTTAGAAGTTTTAATTTTGAATCTATATTTAAGCAGTTGTAAGGAATACTTTTGTGAATAGTGCATTGTGAAAAAAAGTGTACTTTATCAAATATGAGTCATATTTGATGTCTTAATTACAGTCTAATTTAGAATTCCTTTATAAATATATATATGATCTCTTTTCCATTTCATAATTAAATTCAGTCATCTCTTTCTGATCACTTAGATCATCCTTTACATTTTGGTCAATTAATCAAAGAAAAACATTTATAAAGCTGTCACACAAAAGATTAACATCTCCATAAAGATATTTTGTAAGAAAATCAGATAATATTCTGGTTTTAAAAAAATGAAAAACATGCAGCAAAGCAAGATAAGTATTGTAAAATATTAGTAAAACCTATTTTACATAAATCTATAGTACCTTAGAAGCTTCCTAATGAAAAAAAAGGCAAACAACTTGTACCGAAACAGAATATCAAAGCTAAATAAATTCAGTAAGACAATGGGAGAATTCATTTTTTATTCAAGTAAAGTTTTGTCTATATTGATGTACTTAAAAATGCAAGAACCAAGTTCCATAAACAATAAATTTGTTTATTTGAACGAGGTACAAATTTTTTGCCCATCTTCTACTCAAGGCGCTACTATTATGTGGAAAATGCAAAAAAATAAGAAATGATAATGAATGATTTAAAGAGACATTCATCTTTATACAACAAACTGAAGTACAAAATTATTTATTGCTTAAACAATACACAAATTTTGTATGTGGGATGCATAGTCGCCATCACTATTGAAACCCATATAAGTTTAATACTGGACATTTAGAAAAACCAGATGTCTCTTTAAATTTTAATTTAATATTTTAACCCCCATGCAGAATTTTACAAGCTGCTCACAAGATGACATGAAAATTGTTAATATGGTTTAAAGCAACACACTCAAAATATGGGAAAACGGACTACAATGTAACGTTTTCCTACTATGCATTTTCCATAACCAACAAAAGAAAAACCCACAACTTTAGTTTCTGTCAGGCAGACGAAGTCTTTACCTGAACCCTAGGAACAAAAGGCGTTGTTCTTCTACTAAGGCTTTGGCTCTGGTAAGCAAAATTAAAGAAAAAGCAATAAAACAAAACCAAAAACGACAACACGCTGGAAACTAAAAGACCAAAAGTAAAAACAAAGACACATAACTATTACTTTAAACACAGCTTTACACCAACAACATATTTATCTAACAAAAAGTATTTAAATGCAATGCATAAATTAAATCTGCAAATCTGTTACCAAATCATATCAAAACCCTTGGGTGGAAATTCTTGCCTTAGGTAAGTCAGCAGGAATTTTGCCACTGATTCCCCAGGAGCAAGGATTTCTCTTTGCAAGTCTATAGACAACATTTACAATAGATTTAGAAATAACATGTAACAGAAACAACAAGTAGGCAAAGTGTGATTTAAAAGTGGGGTTGGAAACATAAGGTGGATCATCTCTTTCAGGGAGATTGTACATGCATATTCAGAGAGAAACAAGCACAATTCACATACTGACAGCTTTGGTTACTTTGGAAAGTGAGTAAAATAAAAGGTTTTCTCTTTTTTTTGAGAGTCATGTCTATTAAAAGTCCTCCTAAACACTTAGAAAAAAATTAAAAGAAAGTTAGTGCTCTCTGGTATTAACTTTACATGGGGGAAGGTACAATCTCTGTATTTCAATTCTCTAGCAAGCATGACAGAAATGACATATGGTATACACACAAAATCCTTGCGTGAAATGGGATCTAGAAAATTTAGCAAACTCATATACAGATGCATTTATAACATATTTTTGTGCTGTACCAGTTCAGACCACATACAACCTTGTGGCCTCCATCAGCTACATCAAGATTACATCGAGTACAGGCAACTCAAATTCCTGGATTAGCTGCAAATTCCAAGAAACCACTCCCCACCTCCAGCATAGGGCAACAGCTGATGGAGTGGCACAGAATTGGTGCAGAGCATGGGGCATGGACAGGAAAAGGAGCATGTGGTGATACCTCAGAGGGCTGGTGAGTGGGAGAACAGGAGCATGGAGTAGGTCACAATAATCACAGCCATCTGACAGGTTGGAATCTCCTTTATCTCTGCTCAGTTTTCCTGAGATTATTGATCTAATTCAAATTGATAGAAAGAAGCTACTACTCAATATTCGCTTCCATTAGAAATGTACTCAAAGCATGGAAATAGGCACTGTGATGATGGTTCTGCCACCCTCCTTGCTTATTTGGCATGCACAGATGATCAAGAAATCTGTTCCATAAAATGTGTGAGGTAATCTGTTCTTACATCAAAGAAAGAGGATACATTAAAAAACGTGGCAGTCTGGATCACAGGTTTTGTCTGATGTGCTCCCTGCGTTCCGCAAGGCGCAGCAGCTGCACTCTGCCTGCCACTCTGCACAGGCAGAACTGCAGAGCCCAGTTTTAAGGGTGTCAGAATGTGACCTAGTCACAATAAAAGTAGATCTTCAGCTCACTTCAGCTCCATTTTACAAGGGAAAAAATAAATTATCCCAGGATACTGCAATCCTTAGAGGACAGAATCTCCCCCACCATGCACCAAGCGTCCTCACCTGTCATATTCTGCCTCGGAAATGGAGGAAAATCAACACATTGTGTGCACTACCTAGAACTTTCCAGGTTTTGATGTAAGAGAAACAGCAATTTAATTTTGTACAGGTATAAAGGGAAGGAAGAAAAGGAAAAAGAACACGTGAAAGGGGAGGGGTAGCATGTGTTGTACTTGAACTCATCCCCTCAATGTGCTGACATATAGGCCTTTCATAACGTACCATAAAGGCTTTCAATTATGTTGCATATATTACAACTATATTTACTATAACTTTATTTTTACTGCTTTATAAACTGAATATGTATGGAAAATCTATTGAAGTGATTCTGTGGTTCAAGTGTATAGGGAAATAGATTAATTTTATAAATTATACCCCTTTTCTGCTAGAACTCTGCCAGTACAAAAATTTAATACTGTGATTTTATACTTGTATCCATTCACATGGTCTCATAGTTATGTTGTTATTCCCTAAACCTAACTATTGGAAAAGAATTTCAAGTTATACTTTTCATACAATATCAAAAAAGTAGACAAAATTCAGTAGCTAAGCTAAGAGAACCAACATACAAAGAATACTTTTGACTTTTTCAAAATGATATTAAAGGAAAAACAGCTCAGTGAAAAAAAATACAGAAACAGGAATGAGACAAAGCAAATAATAGAAAAACTATAATTGCAATAACAGCCAGATACTCCCCTGAAAAACAACATGAATAAAAAGTGCTATAAAATAAAACACAGTTAATATGGATAAATTATATTAGCAAGTTATAACACACAATAGTTTACTGTAGTTGCACATAATTTGTTCAATTAAATATGTACTTGGGCAGAACAATTATTAATGTAAAGAGGATTTCCTGTCAGTGTGTGATGGTTTACTTTGTGGTCAATCCTATTAGTCAGCTCTAGACTGACACTGTAACCTCCACAAAGAAAACACTGACACAGACCAATGCCAGCAGGGAGGAAAACATGGAAAACTGAACATACAGAGGAAGACATCCCTGAATGCTACAGTGGCACTGCTGCAGCTAAACCAGCCAAAACCACACTGAACATAAAGAAATAGATTCCAAAATCCTACTTATATATAAAAATGCTTTAACGATCTAGAGCATTGTCTGAATAAGCCTATACTCAAGTATTCATTCAAATACTTCAGACTTTCATCCAAACTGTTGTGTCTCCATTTCTGCCAACAACCCTTGTGTTTCACTGCCTATGCCAGTAACCACATCTGCACTAACAGCAACCCCTCAGGATACATGCTACTGTTCAAAGGCACAGAAAATACAGAAAACACTTCCAAAATCTTGCCTTTCATCTGTTCCCCCGTCACACCTGCTTGAATTCAGCCACCATCACCCAGAATATCATTGACCCCGCACTTCCATGGAGAACAGCATCCTCATTTACTAATTTACAGCTCATTTGTTGCCAGGGTTCTGTAGTTATTCTCCTGTCTAGGCACTCCCCATAAAGAGCACATTCACAATTACATTCAGAATTTAGTATTTCCTTTCATTTCTCCCTTACTCAGCTATTTTGAATGAATATGCGATCCATCAATTGTTCTGTTAGAAAAGAGCTGATTAAGACACAGAAAACCAAAATACTGAAGCACATCCATTTTGAAGCATTCCAAATAAAATATTTTTTGTAACTTTAAAATTCAGTTTTACCTTACTACTTCACCTTTGCTAAAGGTCCAAAATCAGAAAATCTCACAGTCTATTCTAATTTTTCAAAACATCTCCAACTTTACAAACAGGATTTTTTCACTAACTCTTCTAAAGTTTCAAAACTTCTAAAAATTATAGAATGATAAACCAAAATATTAAAAAGCAAAGGAAAAACTATTCATCATACTACTTTCAAGAACATAAACACCCAAATCTGATGTCACAACATTTTTAATTCTTCAAAACTATCTTAAAGGATCAGTCCAAAAAGAAACTACATTGATTGTTTTGAAAACACTTTTCCTGTAGAATACTTCAATTCTCATAAAGTCCTCTATTTCTAAAGATGCTTATTAGCCTATACATTGCAATTTGCCCAGTTAGATCCCATGTTGCCACCTATGCAGAGCATCTTCAGACACTATGACAGCCACCTTTGCTAGCAAAGCAAAAAGTTTAGTACTTCCCTCCCAAAGTCTTGACCCAACAGCAGCAGGAGCTGGGTTGTGCCCTTAACATGATTAACATGAAATACAGCTATTTCCAGTGTTTCATTAGCAGGGCAGACAAGACGAGCATCCAAACTTTCAAAGTGTCTACTATTTTTAGATGTCTAAATTGCAACTTTAGAGAGTTACAGAGCATTTCTGACCAGTTTCGCCCAGCTGGATCTTTGCGTGCTCAGATAGATATCAGCTGCTCTCTGGGGGAAACACAGATAATATGAAGTAGGGAGTATTGAATAGATACTGAATAGAACAGTAGATAAGGAAGTACCAAAAAAAAAAAGGACAGATTTTCTGGTGTCTCATAATATTATTGAGTTTCCTTAGATAGAAAGAAACTTTTTAGAATAGGCATTTATATATTGAAACATTCAAAAAAATAAATAAAAATAGAATTTATGCCTTCTTGAGTTAAACACTGAATTTTATATGCCATTCTGAAAAATAAAACATTTGGATTTCTGTTATTCTCAATAAATTACAAAATACCTCAAAATTTCCCAATGCTATGATTACATACTTTAAACTTCAGTATCCTATGAAACCACTAATCAAAAGATTTACTGACTTCACTAAAAAATCCTAATCTTAAACTCATTATGATTTTGATCTGAAACTGAGAAAGTCAGTTCAATGTGGTTTCTATTTGGACAATTATTCCATCTTGTGTTTGCACTGGTCATCTGAACAGCTAACTCTGGCTCTTGAATTTCCTGCTGGGAGCTAGGCACCACCACTTTTTAACAGCCTAATCTTTTATGAAGGTTAGAAAAAGGAATTTCTTTCTTCCCTGTCTCCCCTATTAACAGTTTTTACTGTCTTGTAAAAATAAGAGGGTTTTTAGAAACTTTGGTCTGTGTATTTTGACAGTTCATGTTCCCTTGTCATTGTACTTTTGCAAAGCACTCTGCATTCTACAGTCAAGATTTTTAGTTTTCCATTTATCCAAAGCATTGAATCTTTCAAAGTTGTTAAGTACAACAACTACAGAAAATTATGCATTGTAAATGGTTTTTCTGATGAGCAAACAAATAATGTCTCATGCACTGCAAGATGGAGCCAATATGGCCACTGAAGAGACAAAAATATTCTCTGTCTCCTCTATCCATACCATAAACCATTTCTGTGAGACCTAGAAACAGTCTGCCATAAAATATGGATTTTATGCATATTTTTATGGTACGCTCAATATATACAACTTGGAAGTAACCTGAATGTGACATTTCCAAACTTGTTTAACACCAGTTTTGCACTGCTTCCATTCCATTTGCCTTTCCTTTTCAATATGTCAGGCCTCAACTGAACACTTTTGAAAAATCACACTTTGGAATTTTAAATAACATGGAAAGATGCACAAACCCAACTTTTTCAGTTTATTACAAAAGAAATACCCTTTAAAAGAAAATATTCACAAAATGAACTTTCTTCTCAGTGAGAGTGAAGAACAAAACTGAGGAACATCAGCACAAAGAATACAACATGAGTAAAATATCAGAGGGATATCTGGGGAAGTTATATGTGAAAGTTAGTTCATAAGAAATAAGCAGTTGTAACATCCAGGCACACAGGTAATAAAATCTACCAACTCTACACACAAGTGTGACAGTTGAAAAATGTTTACTCTGAACAGCACAAACATAACTGGAGGCCAAGATAAGACCTCTCTGAAAATTTGACTCTACCAGTCTAGCTTACCAGATACATATACATGTATATGTCAAATTTCCAAAAGTTAATAAAATGGAATGTGATTATGAAATTCTGTTCCTGCCTAGACTGAGATGTATAGCATTAAACAAAAAATGTAGCTAGTTTAGTTTAACAAGAAATTTCTGTTAAAGGTAGCTAGCACTGCAGTAAGAGTTGTATATGCTGCAAAAAGTACAACATTAATATCAATGAAATGTTTACATACTGAAAGTTGTCCAGACAAGAACTGTGGAACATCCCTTAACATGCCAGGACTCATAGGAGAAGTCACTGAAATAGAAGGTCGGTCCATTTTTTGAGATTCAAATGAACTAGAACCTGTAATTATAAACAATAATATTTTATACATAGTAGCAGTTATGTATATATTTCAACATTCTTTAAGCAGAAATTGTAGAAATATAACCAAACATGCAGTAAAGTTGCGATAAATATCACTTTTTAAAATCTATTTAAAATTACCAAATGATGATACTCAATCTTTTGGTGATCAGATGCAATCAGGAGCTTTTATTTATAGAATGGAATATAGATTATTCAGATATTTCTGACTGTAATTATGTCAGTAAGTTGAAGGTCCAAAAATAAACACTTTACTGTGGTCAAATGAATTCAGTCTTCTGACTTATTATCTTGTCCAATCAACTAATTTTTAATTAGATTTTTACAAAAAATAACAAGATGTATGCTATGTTTTTTGTGCATTTTGTTTCAAATTTACAAAGTCTGAAAATGGTCAGAGGACAACTTTTGACATACAAAACATAGAGGAAAAGTGGAGTATTTTTATAAATACAAAAGACAATCTACATCTCACAAAACATAAAGTTAATATTAAGAACTGGGCAATGAGTAAAAAGTCATTGAAGGAGTTTTTCATATTATTATAATTTTCATATTATTATAATCAAGCTTATGCCATTTCATTTATTCATAGCTTCTATTACAATAGCATTCTAAAACAGTGATAAAAAATAACTCCAGGCTGAAATCCATCTTATCAGATCCAAGCCAAAGAACAAGTTATTCTTCCCTACATGAAATATGGGTTCAGTCAATTTAAGTAGCACTGAGTGGTTCTAATAAAGTAAGGGTATTCTGAGTTCAAAGTAGCTATCACTCAGGCTGTAAACAAAGAACATTTCTTTCTCATTTTTAGTTTATAAGATGCAATTGAAATGCAAAGCAAGAGAACAGGAAATTAAAAATTGCTATTAATGTTCTTACATATTATTAGAATTATACTTTCTTCAATCAAAACTCATCTAAGCGTATAACCAATGCCGAACCTAAATCACAATATCCTGAGTTTTGATAGCTTATTATTAAACAAAGGTAGATAGATAATACAGTAGGATGACATATTGAGACAAATATACACAAAAAGACAAGACCTATACTGACTGCAGAGGACATTTTTCATTCTATTTGTGCTTACACAAAAGAGAGAGAAGATTTTCCTACCCCACAATTGAAACTTACTGGACTCCAGCTGTGCATGTGTGCTGTCAGGTATTCTGGGAATGTCCCTGAAATCAGGAAAATTAAGATAGGCTGATCCTTCATCTAACAAGCATATTTAAATTTCAATTACACTATAACACTTCCCAAGCCACCATGGAATGCCTCAGGAATGGTGCATAATCTGCTGGCTGTCTTCAGCTACTGGTATGATTATCTGTTATCCTGTGTAAATCATTTCAGTGTCAAATTAAATCCTACAAAAAAGATTTGGTGGATGCAGGAGACAGCCTACACAGTCACAAATGAAATTATTCAGTAAATAAAAGAACAATCTCAGAGCTAATGGTAGACTAAAACTGTGAGTAGTAGCTTCTATGATGACATTATACATTAATTAAATTTAGTGGACGCTCACCAAAACATACTTGGCTGCCACGGCTATCCCAGTACATTCTTTACTGAACTTGAACCACAAATTTAATCAATCTTACCTTTTTCATAACCAAATCAAATGTGTAAGTTCATTTGGCAAAATTGCATTCTTTCATATACAAGACATGTTGCAACACCTGTGTCAAATTTTGTGCAGAGCCACGTCATTTTAAAGCACGCAACCACATCCCCCCAGGCAAAGGAATATATCTGAAGGACAAACATTACTGCATGCTAATAAAAGCGATCAATATGCTAATAAACAATTTCAGAGCTATTTGAGCAAAACCAAGCAAGATGAATAGCTTCAGTTCTGAGCCACAGCAAAACCAACATTTACAATCCCGTTGTGCGTTTCAGGGCAGTCGGTTTCCCCAAGGCCACAGCCAGTCCTGAGGGGCGGCCATGGTGAGGAGAGGCTGGGGCTGCACCGTGCTGGGCCCAGCTGGCTCCTTGGGTGCCTCTGCCATAACATATTTAATAAAGGACAAAACAGCTGTGCAGCAGCTGTGAGAGAAAACAATGAGGAAAAAAGGCCATGAGAGAAATGTTGCAGACACCAAGGTCAGGGAAGAAGGTGGAGGAGGACGACTGGCTGCAATCCCCTTTCCCTGTGCCATGGACTCCTTGGCAGAGAAGGAGGCAGAAAAAAATAGGGAAAAATAAGTGAGTTTGAGGCTAGGAAGAAGAGAGATAGGGGTAAGGGGGCTTCAGTTTTGGTTCTATTATTCATTATCCTTTTATTGTATTAATTCCTAACAAAATAATCTTCCTCAAGTTTGTTTTGCCCACAGTGGTAACTGCTGAGTGGCCCATAAACATTTTCATTTTATTTCCTCCCCGAGTCCTTCTGAGGAGGGAATTGCAGAGAGGAAGTCTTTGGTGCTCAGTCAAGGTCAACCCACCACAAAGGTAAATGAAAAGGAAAGGGTAATGAAAAAAGTTCCAGTGATATCTACTGTTTCATACAATGAAAGAGTCAGCATGATACATAAATAACTTATCTATTTTCTTTAGAAGAGCTTTTCCATAATACTTTTGGTATATCTTTTCCAAACATTTTTCAAGACTCACTAGAAAGACAGCTTTACTAAGTAGACTGAGGAATCTTTCCAAGTGAATTGATGCACAGTATCCAATAAATGAAATAAACCAGAAGGCATGAAACTGCTCTAAGTGCCCACAACAGACATGAAAAAAATCTCTGTTGTTAGTACTCAAAACTTGTGAGAAACTCACAAGCACTACTGAAGAAGCAAATATTTAAGTTTGTGTATAAGGAGAATTTATAACAGGATCCAAAACTCGCCTAGTAATTGACTCAAAACTACACTCTTGAGCTGAACTCTCTTCTTACAAGGAACTCTCACAGAGATAAAGAGATGGAGGAGAAGTAAAATTAGTTTCATAAACACTTTGCATAGTAAGTTATGTTCCACTGCACACAGGTTGCATAGAGTAATTATTAAAACAGTACATTATTTCTTCCAAATTCAAAACTGAAGAAACCATGAAAATAATAAGCATTTAAGTTATCTGTTTCTGAGAATAAGAAGACAGAAAACAGGTAAATTCCTCTGTATAAGGGACAGTCAACTCACACTGATTTGCAATTTGGTCATCAATTTTTATTTTAAGATGAAAAAAGTGGTAAATTGCATGACAAACTGGCATGTTTTGTTTTGTTGGGATTTTTTCAGAATGGCTTTCAATTTTATCTGCCTTGTCAGCTTAGCTTGTCATCTTCAGTTTTCATAGCACTCAGCCTGCAAGAGAAAAACTAATAACTGTGTTTACTGGAATTTGGTTTTGTTCTCAGAATATCAGGATGTGAACGGGTTCTCAGCTAAGTTATTTGCTAGTAACTGAAGATTTCTTGAACTATTTAAAGTGTTGCCATGAATCCGCCAAGAAATTCTCCTTATAAATAATAGGATTTATCTCAATGCAAAAGCAAAACCCTTCAACTGGGCATCAATAATTCTAATAAAATAAATATCACTCCTGATATCTAGGAAATAAGAACTTTTAAATATTGTACATACACTGAAACTTTATTTCCCAGAGCAGAACACAATCCTATGAAGTTATAGCTCCTTGGACAAATGTAACCTATTAATTTTTGTTGTGCATTTGATTATGAACTGAAACCTTCTAAACTGAAAAAAGTAATAGTCTTTCCAGTTCATCAGCTCTAACCTCATGAAAAACATTTCTGACATTATGCTGTTAATATCAAACTTCAAAGAGTTACACACACCTAACCAAAATCTAAAACCTACCAATTTGTAGGAAGTATTCATCACTAAGATTCTTTTACATCTACTGTAAAATGACACTGGGAATCAAATATATTGAACAACTGTCTTATCACTGATCTAGCTCAGTTCTTCAGACTGAGAGGCAAGTGGTTTAATGTAGAAAAAGGCATCTTGAGAGCCCACACCACTTTGCTTAAGAATTATAAATGAGCTGCTTGAGTGACAGCAACATAACAGAAGACATGATGATAAGGAAGCTGAACAAGAGACAGCAAATATAAAAGCACAAGAAATAATACAGAAGATTGTACACAATGAAAACAATGCAAAAAGATTTTTAAAAGTCGGTATTTTCAAGATGTGAGTTGTTACTTGAAACTTTTGCTATAAACTTCTATTTGGGACATACTCTGGAAGATTTGTGTATAAAATTGATTTGAGAGCTCCTTTTCTGAGACAAGTAATGTAGTCTGTCCCTTGGCATTACTATAATACCCACACCTCCCAAGTTGTGCAAAGATGTGACAGATGATACAGTTGTTACCCTAAAGGGGTTGCAATTCCATATGTATGCAGGACATAACATCTCATCTCACTGACAAGATAAAGCTGGTTTTTTGTTATTATCAAGTTTGTTTAAAATTGTCATACCAAATTAAGTTCCTACACCTTAAGTTCCTGATGTGTCCAACATAATAAATTCCTATTATAGCTGAAACCATACCAGTCATCCTCACTGAAATGTCGTTCTTAGATTATATATTTCTAGATTTTTTTTAGTACTTCTTCATTTTTAATCATGTTTTCTTATATTAAGTTAATGTGCATCTTATACAAAATAAAGATATATATATATTTATTAAAATGTAATCATAGCATCCTCAAACAGTCCAGGTTGGAAGTGATATTGAATGATCATCTGGTCCAACCTAAAATGGAAAAGGGAATCCAGATGATATTACCTATCACCCTGTCCAGTTGTGTCTTGTGTCACAAAAAATTCTGGGCAAACAAAAGAAAATTCTTAATGACTGCAAATATCTTCAAAATCAGTGATAATCATTCCCCCTCTCACAATTCTCATGTGATATGGTCACATTCCAATGGAGAATTAAAAACGTGGTGCACATGCCTTTAGGGTGTAGGAGCTTGGAAGAAAAAGAACAATTGAAGAGGAAGTACTCACAGTCCAACACAACAAAGCAACTACTGCTATGCAAGAAAAGATTAAGTTTAGACATTGAGAGGTAAGTTTGAAGGTTAATAAAGATGGGCAATGTACAGCACCAAATATAAAGTCTCATACAATTCTACCTATTCATTCAGATGTGTTCTGTATTACATAACAAGCCATAATTTAACAGTTCCATAGGTGAAGGTGACGTGAATGTTGATTTGAGACTTTCCAAGCATATTGATTTTTTTCATTAGCATACTATATTTCACACAAAATTCTATATTGCAGACTCTCAGTAAATGGAGTTCATCATCAGTTCATAGACCAAATATGATCTCATAATTTTATGTATGTATTATCAAAAATGGGAATGGAGAAATAAAAATCAACAGTCAAGAATTACAACAACGAGTTTAAAACCACAGTTTTAAAGCCAATATAGGCTGGCTCACCAACTGAAAAACCAGAGAAGGGAACCTATTTTTAACCATAATAGCAGATGATGCCCAAGACTCTGAGAACACAGGATTTCACACCAGCTCTTTTTACTCGCTGGCATGATCTATCATTCCAGCTACATTTTTGGTTTACAGAATTTTGCATAAGATTTTTCTGTTTACAATGTTAATGAATGTTTTATATACTCCATCTTAAAAGTGAACAATATTATCATATTTAATATAAAAATACATTAAATTACTTACCCTATTGGTCTTGAAACTACAAGCTCTACTTGTGGCTCAGGTTTGGATTCTAAAATTATATTATACACCTCCTCAAAGGTGGCTCCCTGTAGTATCCTTCCATTCCATTCTAATACTTCATCACCTGTAAGTAATAACACCCTGCTTAGGAAGTTTCCTGCGGACAGCACTTATAATAATGATTTAAGCCATTCTACTGTCAGTTTATTGGATTGTGAAACCTGTGTTATAGAACAAGTTTGGAGGCCTTCATGCAGGAAAAATCTGAGTATTAAAGGTTTTCTGCAGCTCAGATTCAAACATGTAAAGTTCTGCAAAACAACAATGAAATCAGTAGGACCCCTACTGAGTCAGATGCTCCTCTTACTTGATTTGGCAGCTGTGGCTTACAGAAATCCCAACATGCTCTTTAGAAATTCACAATTAAAACATCAAATCTCACCAACTTAGTTCAGATAGTTCTTATGTTAATAGTTAATATTTCTTGAACATGCTCCAGTGTAGCAATCTATGGTTTGCGTGCTGGAACAGAAGCAGCTTCCTAGCCAAGGTGGTTCTGCTCATGCCTTTGTCATAGCTTGGTTTGCTCTAAACAAAATATACACCATAAAATGACTGGGGAGGACATCAATGGAATATTACTTTGAGTATAAAAATGAGCAAAAATGTTAAAATATTTTTTTAACAACATGAGTGTATATTTTATAAAAGCAACCATCTAGTAACAGTGTCAGTTACATTCTCCAGTATTTCACCATATCTATTTAGTATAATTTCACATGTAATTAAACTTGCTCAGTTGTTATCACCTTCAGAAAAGAAACTCAGCAGTACAGATCTATAGTAGATACATACCTGGTCTAAGATGCCCCACTGTATCAGCTAGGCTTCCTTTTTTAACTTTGGTGATAAATGCGCAGAGTCGACCTGATTCAGTCATCTTTCCTCCTACTACCTGTTTCAAATAGGAAGTATTTTCACAGTATGAAAATTACTTTAAATTATTTAAATGTACTGGAAGTAGAAAGAAGAATTCAGCTTTTTCCTTGGGTTTTATGTAGTCCAGGTAACACATATACACTTGAAAAAAATACCACAGAAGTTTGGCTATGACAGGGTATTTTTGCAGCTGTTCTGGCAATTTGTACAATTGAAAAACAGTGAAAACAGATAATCCCAAGGCTTTTAAATTTTAGCAAATACATGCATAGTGTCTCATTATATTACAAATTATCAACCAAAACAATGTAAGTTATTGATCATTTGATTGCTCATTTCATTATTTTTTTAGCTAGAAAAAGATATATTAATGTAACAGAACTCAGGATGTTCACAGTAAGCAATGAAATTCCCTTTGGCTTGGCAAGTCAGGTGAAAACACTTGTCACACTGAAAATTTCTCTACAGGGAACTTCAACAGGTTTGACCTTAATATTTATCTTAGAATCAGACTTGCGTGTCAGAATAAGTCATAACTGAATAATCTTCAAATTCTTAAGGTTTCTTAACAGTCTTCATACTGGGATTTAAAATTTGTAATACTAAATCCAATTTAGTTTACTTTCAATATGTAAATACCTGGAAATTCAGGTCAGTATTGGAAATCACTCTTTCCAGATGTCTATTGAAATTAAAAAGTAGTTACTCTTGAATCTGAACTATTAATGAATCTCACTGAAGAGTTCACCTTCATAATATGAGATTTTAGAAATTTTAACATAGATGTTTAAAAAAAAAGGTGCCTCTTAATGTCTTGCATTTGCTGATAAGAGAAAAATAAATATATAAAACTTGATGATTAATTGGCTTCTCCACTGACTTCAAATAAAATTATTTATTAATTAAATAAAAAACTTAAAATCTTTCCAATGTTAGTACATATATATAGTTATAGATCTTTCCCATACCTACACTGATTTAATCCTTACTCATAGGGTGTGACAATAACCTAATCTGTACACCTGAGGTGAAGTAAGTGATGTTAAATAGAGAACAGAAAATTTAAACTTCTTAATAATTTCTTACAGCAAGGATATGGAATCAAAATAAATACAAGTTTGTTTCTTTCACTGTTTATAGTTTGTTCTCATTCTTGTACTAGTATTTCTGGAACTGCAGATAATAATATCACACAAAATTGAGATCAATATGGGAGCAAGAAATTCATGATGTGTTTAAAGAGCACTGCATCATGAAAAAGACATTAACACATTAAAAAAGAGTACATTATTTTGTGATAAAACTCAATAATATTAAACAACTTTCCATTTTGTGTATTTAAAATGTGGCAAATCAAACAATCAGAGAAGAGAAAAATTCAAAAAGAGGAAATTCCATTGGCATACTCTGACCTGGATCAAAATAACATTAACTCACAGGTTAGGTCTTCAAGAGAGATAATTTATTTTTCATTTTTCTTCTCTTTCTTGGGAAATAAAAGTTATACTATGGTGCAATGCTCCATACTGAAGAACACAGACAGGACTCAACTTGCCTAGCAAGGGTGCAATTCGTACTTTGCTAAGAAGACATGCTCAGAAAACTTCTGAAAACATGTCTAGTCTTTCAGAAAAATGCAATTTTTTTAATTCTGCCAAGGACCCTGCAAAATTACTCTAGGTAAACGAATATAAAATGTCTGTATTGTAATTTTGAGAATGATAAGGCATTATCAATATTGGTATGCATGCACCATACAGTATGAGAATACTTTAATTATAAAAGTAGCTAGTTTAACTGAGAGAGATGTTACTTTCAAAATTGTTCATCACCAACCTTCAATCCAAGCATTGCTCCTGAATCTCTAGGCACACTTCCATCTTTTAGTCGCTTATTTAACAAAATCCGACCAATGAGACGATCTCCATCTTTGGATGGTTGCCAAGTTACTGGATGCTATCATATGGTGTTAATGGAAAATACAGTGAAGAGAATTTTAATGAAAAATATTTCAGTAATACTTTTCATTTGCTTATATATTTTAAAAATGCTATGAAAGTATTATGATCACACTAAAATTTAATATAAAAAATGACAGAAAACTGCTGGAAAATATTTATTTGGACATATTGTTCATCAAAATGGATGTTTAATATTTAATAACATTATCTATTTTACTAAATCAAATTTGTAAATATCTAGAATGATCTTTCAGTCTTGATTTGACAGATATAGACAACTACACATAGTTATTTAGACTCAATGAGATTCACACTTGAGTACTGAGAAAAACATTGCTAAAAGTCTAGTATAAAAATAATACTGGAAAAGAAGTTTAACTCAAACTGAAAGTTTGATACCAGAAAGGTCTTATTTTTCTACTACTTCAAGAATTTCAAATTTAATCCAAGACCAACAAATATTTTAGTGTTTTACTTTCTCTCAGTAGTAGTAGATTCAAATTAAAAAACACTGTTAAAAGGTTACTTCGTTACTTCATTACTTCATTTTAATATTCTGTTTCTTTCTCAGAATAATTAATTCATACATGAAGCACAGTTACAGTGAGCATTGTTATTCCATTACTATATATGGGCACAGTTATACTTGTCTATTGGCCTAATTAATGAATTGTTAAGATTTTCTTTTGTGTAATCATAGTACTTTCTCACAGAAAAATATTATTTCATGCTCTATTTCATGCAAAATTAGCAGGCACAGATAAATCTGCTCCCATTACAACTAATAACTCTAAAAAGATTTCTCATAATCTCCACCAAACAGAAAGCAAAAATAAAAAATACCAAAGCAGATGGCAAAGCCTTTAATTCTGCACAGTACTGCACAAAAATTACATGGCAACAAAACAAATGAACAACCATGACAGTGAAAGGGAAAAAAGAAAAACAACTTTTCTGTGCAGAGAGACCCAATTTTCTCCCTTTTTCACCTGGGGTTTAAACTATTAATTTAATTTCAGCCCCAGGAGTTTGGAAATAGTAAATCAAATAAGCCAATTGGTAGAATCCTTATTGTTAATTACTTTGTTCTTTAAGGTAATATCCAGATATGCTAATTTGCAACCATAAGAACAACATTCCTTTATGCCTCTCAATGTTTTTTTCTTAGGCTGCCAAACAGTAAAAGCTGCAAGCATGCAAAGACTTTTCATTTGTTTTTCTTTTCTGCACCTTAAGAAATGCTATATTGTCTCTAGAAACACCCTATCTTTCATTTTATGCACTATTTTAATGAGTGACAGAGAGCAAACAAAGACCAAATGAGCAGGTTAAAATGCAGGCTCCATAATCTCAGTACCTTCTCACTATGGCTATGTTCCTCGTTTAGAGTTGTGCTACTACACGTATCTACCCCAGAGTCTTTTATCTGAGGCTCAGACCATTCCAAGTCCTCTTCCAAAGAGTGGCCACCAAAGCAGACCATTTTCTTTTGCCTCTCGGATAAGGTGTTAGAATCCGACAAAACTGCCTGCTCACTAGTTTTTCTTTTTCCCCTTTGACTGTCCCCTATAGGTGTGGGATAAAAAAAGGATACAAAAAAAGAAAACATGCAAAGGTGTAAATAAAACCAAGGAAATGTAAAATGATAAAGGAAACTAAATGGTAAGGCTCCACATGTCTCACCAAAGACATTGGGGATGCCTCACTGCTATGCCAAGACGTATGGTCCAACCAGTTGTAATCCATGTCTCCTGCGAGAATCAGACAGACAAGATAGTGCAGTAAAGGAAAGGTGAAAGAAAGGACAAAGGTACAGTAAAATTGTAAAGACTTCTGCTTATCCTATCTGATTCGTAACCTCTGCCAGGAGGACTTGCAAAGGGCTTCCAAGAAAAAGTTAAGGCTTCAACAACAGAGTACATGGAATATGAAAAGCTGTGAGGAAGGAGATACATTTGTGTGTGTCTAGGTGTGCATAAAATTATGTACAGAGCAAAACATCCCCGTGCCAGATTTATTAACTGTCCCTATAAAATTATTTACAGTAAATTAAATGAAAAGGCAAATTGTATTTCTAATAGAATATCCAGAAGGAAAAGCATTTGAATACGGAAAGTCTTGAGGAACTTATTTCTTTGCTTTTCTACAAACACAAATTAGTATTTATTCTAATCACATCAATGCAATACTTAAAAAAATGGTACTCTGTATTGACTTTAGAGTAGATGATGTTAAGGAAGGTTAAATGAAAAAAAATTCTAGAAGCTATGTTGAGAATAAAAAGCATATTAACTTTGCTTTGTCTACTGGTCAAATATAAGGATGAAATCTAGTAAGTACAGATACCCCACAAATGGGAGTGTTTAGGGTTTTGACAAAATATAAATGTTTCATGAAGTCAGAATTTAACCTCCTTGGCAGACACATGGTAGAAAGGAAGGTTTGAAAAACAGTTTAAGAAGAGATCTAAATTAATGCTGCTGTCCAAAGAATTAGGAAATGACTCATGTATTTTAATAAAACATTCTCTTTTATGTAGGTACTTCAAACTGTAAATTATGCCCACACATTCTGCACTATTATGTTTCTCTCTTTTTTTCCCCCCTTACCGTTGTTACTATGTGCTACATGAAAAACATTTTGTTACTGAATGCTGCATATTTTTACAGTACTATGTGCAGGAATCAAATGTTTCATTTTCTGTCAAATTTGACCAAACTAAAGCAAAGTAGTTCAAGGTTCCCTAATACAGACCTCAAAAAACATTTTCCTATTCCTGTTACTGCAGATCCTGCTTCAACACTGCTCAGGCTACTCCCCTGGAACTACATCAGTAGGGTGGTGAAATGTAACTAACAAGTCTTAGCACTGTCTTAACACTTGTCTAGAAAACTTTACAGAAAGGATGTGCAGATACAGCCCCATAAAACTACAAAAAACCAATAGAGGTTTTAGTAAAGTAAAACATTCCCCTTGGAGAGGTATCACAGAATTAACTGGGTTGGAAAAGCCCTTTGAGATCATCAAGTCCAACTTAGTATATTGTATATGTACAATGAGTAAAACAAGTGAAAATTTTTTTTGACTTGTTTCCTCCTAAAATAGACTCGCATATGCTGTATGAAAAAAACAATCAAGTCTCATTTTCATTTTAAAAAAGGAAATATTCAAAATACAAAGGCTTTGTTTTCAAAAAGATACTTTGAACTTAGTCCCTTACACATTGCAGAAATCTTGCAGCATATTGTCTTGTAGTCTTTTCTTTCATAAAAACAGTGATAAAGTAACTTCATAGAATTATTTTGAGGCATCAATTAATTCATATTTTCTAAATAATAAATAGGCTGTAAATCTCTCAACTATGTTTCCTGACACTTGAAAGGAAAATAACATTTAAAAATGGCAAATTCTTACCAAAACTGTTTTGCCATGAATGTTAACATCTTGCCTGTATTACAGATAAAAGTGTGGCTATCCTGTCAAAGGGGAAAGAAACACTCTTTTGAAAGTTGGCAACATTTTGCTAAAGCTACTTCCGCAATGGAATTTCCAGTGCTACTTTTGCCTCCAGACATTTCTTCAAGGGGTACTGAGTGAAATCATCAGTGAGTTCATGAAGATCTAGCCCTTACTCATATATACACATTTAGAGATATCCAGAAGATAGCAAGAGTTCCAGCCTACATGTTGCTTGTTTTACAAATTCCCTGGGACCTTCAAGCATTGGACCCAGACTCATCTGCTGGTATAGCTGGTTTCTGCTTACTCCAAGTCCTTTTACCCATTTACTACTGTATCCACAAACAGTATGTGTCCAAGATTGGATTCAGTCATTTTGCAAAAATAGTTACTTTTCATCAAATGATAATCCCTGGAACTAAAGCTGCACAGCGGAACACTTGCAAAATTGAGCCTGTTACCTGATAAAAGCGCTCTGTCTTCTTGCTTGACCATTTTCCCTTCTCCTTTTCAAACAAGATGTAGAAGGCTTTTTTTTTTTATTGTAGATGTATCTCACAGTAAACACTAAATAATTGGCATTTATAAAATGAAAAATTAAAATAAGCAACAACTCCATCCAAAAACTATTTTGGTTTTATCTGTGTAAAATATGCAGTTATATGTTTCCAAAAATTATCATACAAATTAGAAGTTGTAAAGCCACTGTAGATCTTATAGATTTTGCCCTTAATACTGCATTAATTGATCTAAATGACAGGCATAAATGCTATGCAAGTTAATAAAAGGATGATTGCCTGGAAGCTCTGGAAGCCCTGTAGTGCGTTACGTTTCTGTGACAGACATGTATGGCTTAGTATACCTACAACTTTTTGAAATAAAGCGAATAGCTTGATAAAGCCACTGGACATCAGTTTTTCAATGGAAGTTCTAGAAATACTAAAATCTTGACTAGGTAAATGATTTTTGAAATCTTGTAAAATTAAAAGTAATATATGTAAAGCCCATAGGTCTTTGCATACAAGAAAAAAAAACTATAAGTAAATAAACTAACTAAATAAATAAATAAATAAAATTTAAACCATGATCTTGTGTAACACAGACACCATAGTTGTAAGTCTGAGTACCAGAAAATGCACTTGCTGTTCTCTTAGAAATTAATCATCCACTATAGAAAATACTTTATTATTGAGAATATATACATTTAGGGTATGCAGCAGAAATTACACAGGAAAAAAATGTCACTTCATTGATAAATTACAAAAGATATAATATCAAAATCATAATTCATGGGAAAGGGATCTAATATATTACTAAGGAAGATACAATCCTAGTTTATGCCATTATAACAATATTCAGATGCCTTTTGAGTTCAGGAGTGCAGCTGGATATAGGAAAGGACATATGTGAGGTCTGCTCTTATTAATGTCAATGAGTTCTATGTGTATATGGAAAGCTTCCATGGACTAATCAGGCTGGGAGAACCACATCAGTAACCTTGCCCTTCTGCAGAAACAGGATTAAGCTGAAGCCTTTGTAACCTTACTGGTAACCTTACTGTAACCCTACTTTGTAGCCTTGCTGGAAGCCTTTAACCTCACTGGTGTTCAGTGCACTTTTCTTATTTTGTCTAGACAAAACCAAAAGGCAGAGGAAAACTTTTTTTTTCTTCTACATTCAGGAACCCCCAGTAATGGGACCTTCCTGTAGAAATGGGAACTTTGAAAGAATTTTGGTCAGTTTCTGTTTCCCTTGTATTTTAATGTTTGGTTATGTAGTTTTTTGTTTCCCATAATGGCTTACCCACAGAAATATGAAAATTGAGTATTTTTTATAAAGCATTAAGGAGGCTGTATCTAACATACAAGGTGTATGCCTACACTTTTATGAATGCTGTTTAAGTTCATGGTCAAGTCCAAAGCCATTTACCTTCCAAACAGGCTAGACATAAAGCATTCTATGTTATTGGCTGTTCTACTCATACAGAGTTATTTGGACACTCTAAAGTGCTCAAAATCTTCACATAGGATATAAGCACAACCCAGGTGCTTTCTACCTAAACCAAGACCTCTCTGAACTCCAACTGTTTCCCTTAGTAAACTAAAAACATAATCTTGCTTTGAACCAAACAAACCAAAAACTTGTCCTCAAATTCAAATCTCATTGCCAAAAAGAACAAGTCATATAACTTTAAATTCTTCAGGCTGAGGAGACTACCTGACCACACGGTACTGAACACATACTTCTGACTACTTGAGCCAATAATGGTACATATATGTCATTACTCAAAACTGCAAATTATTTAACCTTGCAATTAAGTGAGTATTTTCCCCCTCCAAGCTAATTTTCAGCATAATTTTCAGTGAGCTGAACACATCCCACGTGTCTATATCCTTCTCCTAACTGCACAGCTCCCAGTGCAGCCCTGTACCAGAAGGTCTCTGGAGTGAAGTAAAAAGTGAACTACAGCTATTAAGAGCTTCCATTTAAGCAGGTTACTTTCTGTGTTTGCAATACTATCCATCCAGACTGCCACACAGTGGGTGACTCCAAAGAGGAGCTACACAGCTAGAACTGCCTGCAGGTGATTATATGAATGCTGCAACAATTGCTTTGTCAGCTCAGGGACATTCTAGCTTTTGGTGCAGGAGCAAATGTAAAGCTGCCTGTCACACAGCTGACTGTAAAGCACAGAAATACTTTCCAGCACAGTCACTGATGAAGTTTGAGCACTGATTACAAAAAGAAGCACCTTCCTGCAGGGCTTGCGGCAGGCTTTGAAAATTCCTACCATGCATTTCAACATTTCTTCTTGCAAAACTATTATCTCTCTGGATTTATCAGCTTTCAGCATGGAACAGCCTAGGAAAATGTCTGAAGGATCTGCTCCTACCAAAGCAAAAAACGAGAAGCTGTTTTTTATGCAAAGGATATGAAATATATTTTGACTATAATACATGAAATACAGAGAAATGCAGCAATTAGAGGAAAAAATATATAAATCTCCATTAGTGAATAGCAGAGTGCTGCATTCCACAAGGCAGGTGAGAGAAAAGACTGGGAGAGGTGGGAGCAGGTAACAGTGCATACCCATGTGGCAAGAATGA